TCGACGACAGACTTCGCGAGTCTGTTTTAAGTTTACAGGCGGCAAACGGAAAGCCGATCGCTACTTACGGTAAAAGGTACGTCTACCTTAACGTGGGTTTACGTAAACCCATACACTGGATTTTCGTGGTTGCAGATGTCTCTATGCCAATCATTGGTATTGACCTGTTACAACACCACAATCTACTCATCGACACACGCTCACGAAGGTTAATAGACGGAAACACTAAGTTGTCCGTTTGCGTAACTCCTTGTTCTGGTTGCAGGTTATCCCCAGTCACGATCAAGCACGCCATAGACCCCTTGTACCAAGCAGTACTCGACAAATACCCCGGGATATACCAATCGCAATCGAAATTACCTTGTGTAACCAGCAATGTTACACATCACATCTCGACTACAGGACCACCTGTATTTTCGAAAGCCCGAAGACTCGCTCCCGAAAAACTTAGGTTAGCTAAAAACGAATTCAACCACATGATGGACCTAGGAATAATTCGACCATCGAATAGTCCATGGGCATCCCCATTGCACATGGTCCCTAAAAAGGACAGCAATGATTGGCGGCCAACTGGTGATTATCGGCGTCTGAATGCTAAAACCATTCCCGATCGTTACCCGCTGCCTCATATTCACGATTTGACAGCTACCTTGAAGGGTACAACTGTCTTTTCGAAAATCGACTTGGTTAAAGCTTATAACCAAATCCCGATGGCAACTGACGACATTCCTAAAACCGCCATCATCACTCCCTTCGGTCTTTACGAATTTCTACGAATGCCTTTTGGTTTAAGAAACGCGGCTCAAACCTTCCAAAGGTTTATAGACGACGTCTTCCGAGGTCTCAACTTCGTACATGCGTATGTTGATGACTGTCTAATAGCAAGTCCGGACAGAGAATCGCATCTCAAGCATCTGGACATTGTTTTCGATCGACTTCAAAGGCATGGCATTACTGTCAACATTCAGAAATGCCAAATCGGAACTAACTGCTTAGACTTCCTAGGACACACCATTGATGCCCAAGGCATCCGACCCCTTAGGAGCAAAGTGGCGGCCATTCTGGATTACCCAGAACCGACCACGATCAAGCAGTTACGAACTTTCAACGGATTCGTAAGTTTCTATAGACGGTTCATACCTAAATGCGCATCCCTAATGAAACCGTTAACCGATCAGCTTCGTGGAAATGCGAAATCAATTAGTTTAGACGACATAGCTCGTAAAGCATTTTCCACAGTTAAGGAACACATCGCTAAAGCAACCTTGCTTGCTCATCAGGACAGTCAAGCGCCCATTAGTATCGCCGTAGACGCATCCGACTCAGCAATCGGAGCAGTCTTACAACAATGGGTTAACAACTCGTGGCAACCTTTAGGATTTTTCTCGAGACGGTTGCTAGACGCTGAATCTAGGTACAGCACGTTCGGTAGGGAACTCCTAGCTATGTATTGTGCTGTACGGCATTTTCAACATTCCATCGAAGGAAGAGAATTCACGCTCTTTACCGATCACAAACCTCTTACCTTCTCTTTAAGTTCATCTTCAGACAAGTACTCACCAAGAGAGTCTCGACAACTCGACTACATTTCGCAGTTTACTTCAGACATACAACATATTTCTGGAGCAAACAATGTAGTCGCAGACGCCTTGTCTCGAATTAGCTCCTTGAACAGTTTCCAAGGAATCGACCTTCTTAAACTCGCTCAGCTTCAAAAAGAAGACATTGATCTTCAGCATGAGTTAGCCTCGACAACTCTTAAACTAAGTATTAGGCAGATGGGAACAGGTAAGGAAACCTTACTCTGTGACACATCTACAGGTAGGGATCGTCCAATTGTACCAAAACACTATCGCCGCAACGTCTTCAATACGTTGCACAATCTTTCTCATCCAGGTGCTCGTGCAACAATCGAACTTATAGCCGAACGCTTTTGTTGGCCTGGCATGAATAAAGACGTGAGGGAGTGGTCACGCTCCTGTGTAAGCTGTCAGAAATCTAAGGTAATCAGACACAACAAATGTCCCTTAGGTTCTTTGAAAACCCCTGACGCTCGTTTCGACCACGTCCATCTAGATTTGGTAGGACCCTTACCCGACTCGAACGGATACTCATATCTCCTAACATGCGTAGACCGTTTTACTCGATGGCCAGAAGCAGTACCGATTAAGGACATTACTGCTGAAACAGTGGCTCGCACTTTCGTCGAACGATGGGTAGCAAATTTCGGCTGCCCTTCAACCATCACTACAGACCGCGGACGCCAGTTCGAATCTGGACTTTTCCGTTGTCTGACCACACTTTTAGGAATCACGCGCTTCCGAACGACCGCCTACCACCCACAAGCAAACGGGTTGGTAGAACGTTTTCATCGACAACTAAAAGCCTCATTATCAGCTTCAAACGTTTCACAGTGGACAGACGCTCTTCCACTCGTCTTGCTAGGTATCCGCAATGCAGTGAAAGCTGACATTGGATACACGGCATCTCAACTCGTTTACGGAACGACACTCCGACTCCCAGGAGAATTCGTGGATCCTTCAGCTTCTTCATTGAACATGGATCTAAACTCTTACACGAGTAGGCTTACAAACGCTATGCGTTCAGTTAAACCTGCTCACACTCGACCTCAATCAACTGATGTTTTCGTTCAACCCGAACTACGACATAGTACACACGTCTTCGTTCGTCGAGACTCACATCGACGACCCCTCGAATCAGCATACGAAGGACCCTTCAAAGTTCTTCAACGCGAACCTAAGTACTATGTAGTTGATAAGAACGGTACGAAAGATAGCATCAGTATCGATCGACTCAAAGCTGCATACCTAGAAGGAAACCCTAGCTACGTCGATTTTCCTTCGGTACAAGCAAACGACACAGCTACTACACTCGTAGTACCCTACACGACAACCGACACACAACTTGATACTTCGTCAACATCGATAGAAAAACCTAAAACAACGCGTTCTGGAAGACGAGTAAGATTTCCAGAACATCTTAACGAATATTGCACGTAGGACATAAGCTTTATCTGGAATTACCCTTTCAAAGTTTATTATAAATTTTTTTTAATATGCTCATTTTTTATTTATGTAAAAAAAAACAAAAAAAACATTTTTTTGAACGTATATATATATATATTTATATATTAAAAAAAAACCCAAAAGAAAACCTTTTTTCCGATCGCTTTTACGCTGTTTGTAAGTGTATCAGTTTATTTTTTTCCGCTCATCTTGTGTCCTTACGCAAGTACGAGTGTATTTTTGACATGCACTCACACGTTTTATTTTTCCTCTTTTCCAGGACGGCTGGAAAAGAACGACGAAGTTTCGCAAGGAACAGAAATTTTCATTGTACTATATTTCTTTATTTGCTACGTTGTACATTTTGGTCCCATAGTTTAAGGAAAGACGACCAGACGCTGCTAAACGAAGCAAGCTATCAGAAGAGTGTTTACCAACGACAAATTCGTTGGGTTTAAACTTCTGGCTGGTCACGTCTTAGGGGCATCACTACCTCACTAGGGGGGGAGTGATCTGTAGCTGTAAATAATTCCCCAAAATCAATAGCTCATTAAGTGTTCGACATTGGATGCTGACCACGTTGTTTAAGTGGACTTGTTTAGCTGAAGGCTTTCGGTCATGCATCCGCACCAGATCACGTTTCAATACTGCGTGGGACACAGCTCCTACGTTTCATTAGCCAGCTCATAGAAAAGGTCCTCGATATATTGGTAACGAATCAAATATATCTTTCCTGCCTCTTCTCGTTTGACTTCTGATTTTCTATCTGACTGGTAACAACCGAATTTAGAAGGTGCTACTGGTATCTAGTTGTAAAACTAGAATATCCGTTGCATCATCAGTGCCATGATCAAGAACGAAAGCAGGTTGGAGCTGACTATTCCACTTGTGGACTGTCAAGACCACTAAAAGACGTAGGAAAGACCGGGGTTATCAACTCCAGAAATTCTTTGAAGGTGGGATACCTGTCCATTCACACAAGGCTCATATTGATGGACTGGACGGAAAAGCTCACGCGTTTCAAACTGAAAGCATAAATTACTTATATATGAGTACCTCGAATTTACCGAACAAAATGGACAAGCTATATGAACTCAGTGATGCCAATAAAGCGCATCTGAAACATAGATATCTTCTCAGTTTACTGTCCGGGAGATATCAATACCCGAGATATCTTTGTTTCTTAATGATAGAAGAAGTGAAATGAGAGGCAGAGTATCTTTATACTTGCGATCTTGCCTGCAGGTATATCAAGTGCACAACCAAGAGTTTATCAATCTTCATGATTCCGTATGGTGCTCATTAAGATTGTCTGCCACCTCGAGATGTCATCTAAAGAAAGCTTACTGCCAACATCGAGTTGGACAGTCGTGAGCTGGAAGGATTATCCCGATCATCTCATCTCGGATTCAGTCATACTCTGGTTCTAAGAGACTTCAATCTTCCTAAAGTCAATTTCTCGGAACATACATACATAAGAGGTAGAAACTCTACTGAGCCTCAGCCCTTCACCCCCATTGAAGATCTGAGATTATTTGGTAATGTGAAGTCGGCAACTCGTTGGAAAAACATTCAGACACCGTCGCGCTTGGACAGCGTACTTACAAACGATGAATTCCTAATCGACAATCTCTCACTCCTGTCCCCTCTTTGTAAAATTGATCATGCCGTCATAGCTTTTGACCATATTAGCAAAACCAAACCAAAACATCATACTAACAACAGGCGTCGGAATTACGAACGTTTGGTTGTGTCAGCTTTGCAGGTCAATCTACAGAAGGCAGACTGAGAAGCTCACCATCAACTTGCTGTGAAATCTCATTGGGATTTCTTACTTATTGAGAAGATAAAACAAGTCACGTTGGGACTCTGAGAAACATATCGCCCCCAGAAATCCACATACAACTTTGTGGTTGTTGAACTTTCGACAAATTAAGAGCGGCTTTTTTGAAGGTCGTGATGAGAGACGAAAGAAAAAGGGTTAGAGATCATGAAGGTCAGTACAACCAGGTAGTTCTTGTATAATTATTTTCATATCCTGTCACCGAGATCTTATGCATATAGAGTATAATATCTTAAGCCTGTGTTCTGTCTCTCTCATGATACTGTTGTGTTTTAAAAGTTGAACTAAAATGAATTCGGACAGATATTTAGGAATTGATTAGTTACGTAGATATAACGTGAGTCTCAGTATCACATCACGTTAGGTATCAATGATGGTATCAATTAAGATCGATTTAATACGATTTTGCATTCCTACTTTATGATAACACCAATCTATCATCAGTGATCGTTGAAATCAGACTTGAAACTCACGGCATAGTTTTTGGGCTCTGATCAGATTTTGTGTACCGGAATCTTCTTTGTGCTGCATGTTAAGCACTTGATTAGTCATTGGGTGCCAACAGACGTTTGGGATGGTGCAGCACAGACCATTTTAATCCTACACTTATTTATTTGAACGCAAACCTTGGTACAAAAGGGCACCAACATTTATATGCGCCACACAAAATTTCTGTAAGAGGTGGGATACTTCCCGGTTGTTCAAACCGAAGTAAGTGGTTTTCTTAGGGGGCCACTCCCCAGGCCTTGGACTTGGAGACTGGTCCGCAAGTCATTGAGACAACGTTAGAATATGTAGTTCCATGGTAGTCAGTGGCCACGAATAGACTCGCACGCCATTTGTTCCCTCATTAACCTGAGGTCTATGTGGACCGTTGGTTGGGAATCAGGGTTTTCCAATTCTTCTATATGGATTCTTCGTACCCATCAAGCTGGTTTAAGACTTGGACATCCGCTTTTTGTACTTTCAATTTCGTAGACAACACCCCCGCTCTGAGAAATAAGTGAGTAGGAATTTCTTGCTAGTTGATGTGTACAGATTACCGTATGGGAGCAACTGGAGAGTAAGTGGACTCTCCCTTCCATCCAAAAGGAGGCTTTAATCCTTAGGGCTTACTCATAGTTAATTATGCGGTTTTATGTATATGATTACTTATTTCATTAACATTGTCCGTGAGAAAAAAATTTAGTTTATTATGAAACGAGTCAGTATTTCAAAGACATTGTGCGGTCTTTTGAAATAATCTAAATTAAATCCATGTAGCCGCCTGTTCATTGGAATTTGCGAAATTTCACAATGAAATACTAAACTTATAAACACCGACTTCTCTGCAATTCAAATTTCCACAAAGTAATGATCAGCCTTGGGGACGACAATTGTGTGCACTAACATGAATTTGCTCAGCTTCCTATGTATGTTTACTGTACAGCTTTACTAACCATTGACTTACCTCTTTAGCAGACTCTTGGACTTTTTGTGGAGTCGGTTCCCACTATTATTGGTTAGTGAGCAGCATCTGTTAACACACAGACCTTCGATACCTGTGGGAAAAGACATGCAGTGCGATGAGTGCAGAGGATCTTACCACGAAATTTTCGATAATCTACCGCCTGTGGCTTTCAAAAGGTTTTGCAAAAGTAGTTGCGCGTGGTTGTTTCAGCAGTGCTGCTCGGACGCAAACAGCTTTCTATCCGAAGCCACTGCAATGGTAAACGCTTCTAAATGAAGTATTAGCAAGCATAACCGAGACATGTTAAATAGTATTTTCTAGGTTGATACACAAATACGCTCAGAGTCGACTGATATACATGGGTCAACGGAGATAGTACAGTCTATAAAAAGATCTATTGGGAAAAGATGCTCAAGAAAATAAGTTTTTTCTTCTCACCGTTCTCCGAATGGCAACGAGCAGGAAAATCTCTCAAAATCTAATCGCAAGTCTAGGTCTGCTTCCAGAAGATATAACGACAACCTGAACACCTGAGTTATAGATAATCATCCAGGATCCCACAATGTGTGTAACGCGATTTTAACAGCTACTCCAACTCACGCTGAAGAATAGGTACAGATCAGGAATAACAAACGACCTGATGTTGCTAAAGGGAAACCAATCCCCAAACAGTGGTTGAGAAATTGGGGACTGATCATAGTTACAGGTCAGTTGTCTTCCATAGAGTCAAAGAGAGTGGAAGCTCAGAGCCGAGAACTCGATTTGAAAATGACATTGAGTCCATAAATGGGCCACTCAACAGTCTGATTCCTCGATATATCTCTTAAGTCACCTTGCTAAAGGTTTATCGAGTAGGTAGTTAAACGGACTTGAAAAAAATCAAACCAGGCTGCTAAAAACAGTATTTAAATTTCCCAGTGAAAGAGATGTAGATTATCAATATATCGAGAAGTGACTGATCTAAACTGGCTAGTGATCGCAGAAGTTGAGCACGGCGTTCCCAATCGTGATCTCGTGCAGATACATGACCGAGCACCTTCAGCTGGGTGTGCCCAATGAAACTAATGTGGTCAGCATCCAGGGTCGAACACTTACAGTGCTATTGATTTTGTGGATTTATTTACCGCTAACGTGGGATATCTCTAATATCCTATGGTATCAATGTAAGTTCGATTATAAATAATGGTTGACTTGTACCAGTGTTTTACATGACATGGTTACCGGTTTTTTAGCGAAGGGCAGTTAACGGACGTCTGTGTTTATGTTGTTTGTACGGTTTCTTCGATTGACGCAGATTGCTTCTCGATAATGTAAGCTTCGTTATTTCTAGCACTTATCTGACAAAAGTGATTTCTAAATGGGATCAACTAACAGCACAACATCATTAGAAATATAGTACAGATGTTTTTGGCGAAACGTTTGAGGATACCACGGACACTCTAGTTTTACAACTAGCAACCAGTAGTATCTTCTATAATCGTTCGTTCCCAGTCGAATAGAAACCAGAAGTCAGACGAGGAGAGGTAGGAAAGATATATTTGATACGTTACCAATATATCGAGGAACCTTTACTATAAGCTGGCTAATGAACGTAGGAGCTGTGTCCCACGCCGTGTTGCAACGTGATCTGGTACGGATGCATGACCGAAAGCCTTCAGTTAAACAAGTCCACTTAAACAACGTGGTCAGCATCCAATGTCGAACACTTGATGAGCTATTGATTTTGGGGAATTATTTACAGCTACACGTTGCTCCGTTGACCTTGAAATGGATAAGAAAACAGGCTAACAAATTATATCGGTAAATCTACTCATTGGTTGTTGGTTTGGGTCGTGGCCTAAAGCATGTCATAGAGCGTGGCATATACAATTCGTGGTATTATTATCTGGGAACGCTAAGCATTATTGCGTCAAGTCAGTACCAGTGACTTACTCTTTCCAATACTTGTGTCGCTCTAGATAATGGACATGCCTCGGATAGACCATAATTTATAGACGACCTTTGAACGAATCTTCAGTGACCTTGAGCAATGTCAGCCAATCAGTAAACAGTCAGTATAAAAACATGTTATACAAAACCAAATAATTAAAGTGGATACACTTCTTTTATATGGTCTAAGACTTATCAAGGTTAGGAAAAGGTTCAAAGGTTCCAAAGTTGTAATGCATAAGGTAGAGAAACTCATCCATATGGCTCTATAATAGTTGGTCTCTGGAGCTATGATGAGGTCACAAAAGCCCTTTCAGCCTCGACCACATAGCTTCATTATTGTTTGTGTACTCCAGTTGTGTAAGTTTATCATTTTTATTATGGATATGTCTCTACAATACTCATACCACTGAACTCCCCTCCCAACCATCGATTGCTATCATTGATGGTTAGAGACCTTGAATGACATGGCTCAAAATCGTTTGCAATGGCACAAATGCATTCACTCTTCGTGTTCTCCCAAATTCTAATCTGAATCGTTAATTCATTTAGTATTGTTTGTTTGAATCTTCCCGTCGATGTGTTAGGATTGCAACTTGTCAGTCTCTAATTGGCATATGTGCATACTGTGCGTATTGCCTCGATAATTCACAAGCATGGTAAGCAGAGATGGATAGTGGCTAGCAGTGAATTCTTAATGTTTCTTTCTTTTTTCTCTTTCCAAATTTATTTCACTGGATTGTACTCCTTGAATAACATTTTCAAACCCTAATCTTTCCGAATGCCCCCAAATGCCCTGGTACGGCCGAGAGTGGGGAGAGTCCTCTCCCCCTCTCGAAATGCTCTCATATGGCCAGCAAATATATAGCCTCTGCCAGGGAAGTCCTACTCACTGCCTACTCATAGTGGCATTACTGTTGTTTACGAAATTGAGAGGACGAAAAGCGAATGTGCGGCGCTTTAACCGGGGTTGGTGGACACTGATAATCCACTTAGGGAAGTTGGAAAACCCTGATTCCAAACAAATGGTGCACATGGGCTCCAGTATCCCGAAGGGACAAATAGCGTATGAATCAATTGTTGGTCACCGGATACCATGAAACTGCATCTCCTCACGATGCTCCACTGCCTTGTGGATCAGATCTTTAGGTCAAAGGCTCCGGGTGTGGCTCCCCAAGAAAACCACCTGCTTCAGTTTGGGCACCCGGGCAATATCACAGCCCTCACACAATTCGAATGAGATTTGTGAGGCGCATATGTATCTGGTGCTTCCTTGTACCAATATTTATGTGTTTAAATAAATAAAATAAACAAATAATCTTTCCGAATACTGCTTATACTCTTACCACTTCTACCACTATGGGATTTGAATCGACAAGTGCATCTCTGTGCTAATGTGGTATGGCAACTCGAACTGATGTACATGTGTACGCACAAAGTCCCACGTTTCTGCTGATTGACTGACTGACTGATTTTTCATGATGTATGAATACGTAACAATTGGAGTTGATATAGCACTGAATAGAATCATATGTTGTTTACTAGTGAGAATAAATACCTGTTTAAAACTATTTGTTCTTTCAGACCTGTTCTGCAATATTCATTTCTGGAAACATAATCGGTAATTTTTTTAGTTCTGCACGTAACAAGTGTGTAGAGATGAGATGTCAAGGAAAACTACCAATCAAAAATAATAGATGTTGTATCAAACAAACAATGAGTTGGGGGGTAGACTCCAGTTTGCATTGCATTCTGTACATTTAAGTTGTGTTGGTTGTAAGTACAATGACTTGTGTTCATTACGTATATTTTGAACTGAGTCTTCCAACTATATATTATTAAATGCTTTTGTGATATTGGTTTATTAATATTTCATTAATGTTGAAACTGTTTCTTAATGGGTTGGGCAGTTTACCAACGGTAAACCGACAAGTCTATCTAAATTTTATCAACTGATTTATAGGCTACTTACTTCTGTGGTGCATTTTTCTAATGTATATCAGACTATTTGAATTAATGAGCCGTTTGTGTGAGAGGGTTTTTACAAACTGCAAACGAAATTATTACTAGACTATTGATTTATCTAATGAATGTATTACTTAGCTGGGTTATTATCTATCCACTAGGGATTAAAGTAATTTCTGATTGTTGCGTACATTGGACTCATCGTTAGTATAAATCGTGCTTGAAACCTTGTGTTATTCTAATCTTTACTTTAAAAGTATTCATTCACACACTAATTGTTATGCTATATTTTCAGGATCCGAGAAACGTGATAGTAGACGTCCTCTAACTGTTCGAGATGTGAGTTTGATTCGTTTAGCAAAGAATGGGGATTTGGATTCAATCAAACAAATGATAAAGGAAGGAGTAAACATAAACGAGCAAGATGAAACAGGTAAGGAAGTGCACCGATAGAAAAGAGGAGATTGTGTTTTATATCCCTGGAAACATGTGATTGTGTTTCTGTATAGAGCCTAAAGTTATACAGGATAAATTATATATTTTATATTGTTGTAGATCAGTATATAGACAGAATATAACAAGCATTTAGATTGGATCAACCTAATTGGCTGTTTTTATTGTCTACTGATCTACGATTTGTGCGTCATATGATCTAAGTCACTTGTCTTACAGCTTGGCCTTTTAGACGTGGAATCTACCACTTAAAGGTAGAACTCCTTAGTATCTCAATGTAACTAGTTGTTTTTGACCATTAATCTCAGTTCACCGGACTTTTGTTTCGATCACTGATGCATGTTAGTACTTCATTTCATTACAGGGGCTGTTCTTCATGCGTTTCCACTTAAATTTGTAGGTTGGACTGTATTGCACGAAGCATGTGTGCGGAACCTTCCACGTATGGTTGATTATTTGCTGCGACATGGAGCTGATCCCAGTATCTCAAACATAAACGGTGACGTAGCACTTCATTGTGCTGCGCGAGTAGGATGTCTGCGTATTGTTCGAGCACTCTTATACTACAACGCCGACCCTCTGTTATCGAACCATAGGGGTGAGAAACCTTTGGACTTGTGTCATGACCCTGAAGTATCCAGTTTTCTCAAACAAGTATGTCTTGGCTGCATTTTTTTAAAGGTTAAATTTTGTAGAAAGGATTGTGTCGTAGGAATATCAGAAGCTTATCAAGCAGACCAGTTTCTCGAAAGAATTGTACCTTTGAATATTTTCTTAAAGACACTCCAAAAGCTTATGGTGATACTTTTATGCTATGACAACCCGGGCCGACATATATCTGTGACAGGCTCTACATTGATGCTTACTGACTGACATCTTTATTTATGTGGCCTTTAAACTTGAGATGAGACCAGACCATGGTCGCTTAAGGGACTATATTATCAGATGATTGCGGAACTACAGTTCGATGATGACAAGGAGGCAGTTGTGAGGTTGGATTTTTACATCCATTGGTTGTATCACAGGAAGGTGGATGAGTGTGTTCAACATTTGAGAAATTCATTGTCTCTCAAACTTGAACCTTTATCTTTCGACACGATCGTTGCTTATATTTCGTTGACTGGTCTTCATTCGATGAGATGTCCATTTGATAGATGGTTGCTCACATTGGTTGGTCGTGTCCATCTACTTTATTATGGTCAACTAAACAGTATTTTGTAAATGTGGTAGCTGTATTATGTGGATTAAAGTGATTTCCTTCTTTGTTGAGCATAGTTTTTATTTCCAGATTGTTTATTTGACTATAAGTATATACGTCATCGCTGTCGTTAATTGAGAACACCGAGTGAGTAGTGGTAATGTTGTGGTTAGCGTAACAATTAAGTGTTGTATCGGTTGGTGAGTTTATAAACTTTCATCGACTGTGAGAGGGTTGGGGCATATGTAATGCCCGATCAGCCATTGACCACCAGTGTGCCATGGAGGTTAGTATATATATGGGGTAGAAATAGGTTAGGGGCAACTAAATCGATTTATAAGGTCAACTCGTGAAGTTAATGACTATTGATATGAGCTATACAGGGAGATTCAGTCTCCTTGATCGCGATTTGTGAGACAACTGTAGTCTGTCTATGTTGCTTGTTAACTAGGTGATGAGTCGAAATAGTCTCAGTGAATGTATACACATTTCTCAACATCTTGTAAATGTTGGACAATCAAGTATTATTTTGTATTTTTCATTCCTTTCTGGTGACTCGCTTATCTTCCTCTTCGTTTTTCGTGTCTGTTATTCTCCTCTAAATCTTGAGTTTCAGTTTTCATGCTTTTCACCTTCGATTTAATTAATACTTTTCTAAACATACTTTGTGTATTTAGTTTCCACTACTATTGTTATTATTATCATTTCGACTCTTTTTCATCTTTTGAACTTCCTGTTTCTACGCTTAAGTAAAATTTGGCAACTTGAACCAATTGTCATTCCAGCCAGTTCGTACGCAGTATATATATGAAATTGCTCAATAATCTCTTCACTAATTGGTCAAGTTTTACTGTTTGCTGGATATTCTTTATTGTTATTGTGTTTATATTTTCAGCATACTGAAACTAACCAATCACACATGTTAGCATCGTCTGGTTCTGGGAAATCATCACATTTGAAAGTCCGCCAACATACACACGGTACAAAACATCTGATGTCCTCTTTTTCTGGTACGACAGTATCCAGCTCCACTGAACATCACGGTGGTGGGGGTAAAGATAACAGTAGTATAGCAAGTCCATCGAATATTTATTCAGACTCAGAGGATGATGGTCATTCACTTTCAGGTTTGAATATAACTACCAATATATCTCATCATAATATTAGTCCTAATAATACTAACCAGCAGTTAGATTTGAATTGCTTATCATCTACCGGTCATTATAACCATCCAACATCTAGTCCATCATTGCCGTCTGTACCCAAATCCGTAACTGATATGCACATCTCTTCATCAAAGTCATGTGAGTGTTTTTCATGTATGTATGCTTCTACATATCTTCTTCTCATTACAAACTGTTTTGCTTAACGTTTGTTGTAAATTTTATGCAATATTATGGTGTATTATTCCAATAACTATTCACAGATCTCAATCTTTGTTCGTGTTATATATAGTGAATTTTACAATAGCTATCAATACTAACTGACAGACTGTTTAGATTGTACATGAGAATCAATAAATGTACTCATTGTTGTATGGATGAAAGTGTCTCACTTGATTATCAAATGTTATACCTCACTCACTAGTTTTCGAGGTGATAGCAGTACAGGTTTATGATGTTTAGCTCCAAATATGTTGGTGTTGGAAAAAAACAAACTGAGTCCCGGTTAGTGTATCTTTCATTTGATTGTTATTATTACCACCATTATCAGATAATGCCTAATGGATGTATTATGAATAATAAGTAACTAGGTACCCCTTAACTATGACCTTACAAAACTGTCTAGTTATTATCCACTGAGTTTTGCGAAAGATAGGTGGGAACTTATGTGATTGCCGTGTACACCTTGTTTGTTGTTGGTATAGTAGAATCTGATAGACGTGTTTATCGACTTATATTATCGTACTTCTGGTTAACATAGTGATTCGTTAGAATTATATGTCTGTGGTGATAAAGGCTTAAGGTAGGGAGAATGCTTCAAAAGAAAGAATAATATAGCAAAATGTCGAGTATGAATTGATATTAAGAGCCAAGATGAATACATCTACACCAGTGCTATTGGTTACTCGTATGAATCACAAGTCGATCGGTTAATGGCTTCGTATCATACAGTCGGACTGTCATGATGTCAGATTTGGGCTGTACCATCTTGTACGTATTTGCCTAGTTAACGTTACCCAACAGTCAGCTGAAAGTAATGTTTGTTCTACATTTTTAGGATATTGTTTATCTTTATAATATTTGGTAAACAGAATTCACTCATTGAGACATTATTATTGCAATTATTATCACCCTTGTTGACGACATAGTTTTATTTGGTGAAGACGCTGAAAAAATGCAGTCTTCTGACCACTATAAGCAACCATGCAGGCATGTTCGATATGCGATTTTCTCCCTCGAAGTGCAAAATGTTACTTCAGGATTGGGTTGCATCGGCACCTGAACTGATGATAGGGAGTGAAGTAGTTGAGCGTGTTGACAGCTTCACTTATCTTGGGAGTCTCATCAGCCCTTGTGGTCTGGTGTGTGACGAAATCTCAGCACGGACACAGAAGGCTCGTCTATCTTTCGCCAACTTGCGTCATTTATGGAGTAGGCGAGATATCCGTCTAGCAACCAAAGGACGGGTTTACTGCTCAGCAGTTCGCTCCGTTCTACTTTATGGCAGTGAAACATGGCCGATAAGAGTAGAGTATATTCGTAGGCTACTAGTATTCGATAATAGGTGTCTTCTAAGCATTGCTCGTATATCCTGGGACCACCTCGTAAGTAACGCAGTTGTTAGGAAACGGGTACTAGGTAAGGATGGCAAATCGATTGATGAAGTGGTGAAACTTCATCAGCTGAGATGGCTGGGACATGTGTTACGTATGCCCAACTACCGGCTGCCTCGACGTGCAATGTTTTATGGTGTAGGAGTAGGTTGGAAGAAAGCTAGGGGCTGCCAGACCAAAACGTGGCACAAATCCATGAAGTCGCTGACAATTGGACTGGGCTATGTTGGTAAGTGTAGACTACCTGGTTGGGACTCGCGAGATGATAGCAATCGATGGTTAGAGACCTTGCAGCCCGGATGCAATCAAGGATGAGTTTTACCATCAGTTAACAGTTCTTCTCCAGAAAGCGCGTTCGACAGATATTGTAGTACTAGTCGGAGACTTGAATGCACAGGTCGGGCGTCTAGGCACAGAAGAGAGTCGTTTAGGTGGCCGATGGGGACTTGTTGGTCGCAGGACAGATAACGGGGACTGTTTGCTGCAACTGTGCACAGACCACAACCTGTTTCTGGCCAGCACTAACTTCCGGCACAGTCATCGCCGGTGTGCTACCTGGCGTCCTCCCTCTGCATCCCAAGCCTGGAATCAGATTGATCACATCGCGATCAGCTACCACTGGCGTGGTTGTGTACAAGACTGCCGCTCCTTTTGGAGTACCTATCTGTAGTCTGATCATGCCCTGGTCTGCGCCAATCTAACCTTACTTTTCAGTGGCCGAAGGATTGACCACCACCAACGGATCGATGTTAGTAAACTGGCTGCAACATCTGTTGCAAGTAAGTATCGAGCGGAGCTAGCTTCTAGGCTAGCTACCATCCCACCGAAAAGTATAGATGAGCATTGGTTGCATCTTCACGACGCCATGAAAATGGCGAGTAAAGCCGCTTGCGGCTTCGCGAAACGTCCCGCTTACAAGCACTGGGTTTCTTCTGGCTCCTTACAACTGATGGAAGCCCGTCGGTCTACTCCGGATGACCGTGAGTATGACCACAAACGAAGGCTGTTACGTAATGAAATTGGACAAAGCTTGCGTAAGGACCGAGAAGCCTGGTGGTCGGAGCGTGCTAATGAGATGGAAGCAGCAGCTGCATCTGGTAACTGCCGGAAGCTCTTCCAACTCATCCGAGTCACTGGCAGCAAGAAGTCTGGTGTGAGTGAAACAATCTACAAGGATGACGGGATGCCAATCACTAACATCTCTCGACGTCTTGGACGATGGGCTGAATTTTTCGAAGGGCAGTTCAATCGGCCTGCTGCTCCGGCAACATCGACCAGTTTGTCCTGCCCCCCATGGCCGGTGACGACTGACCCACCAAACGAGGTGGAAGTCCGCAAGGAACTCCAACTCTTGAAACGTTACAAATCACCTGGCCCAGATGACTTACCTCCGGCTCTTTTTAAAGATGGTGGTGACTTTCTGGCTAAGGAACTGACTGCGTTGTTTGCAAAGGTTTGGGAGGAAGAAAGTGCTCCAACATCATGGAATGAGTCGATAGTCGTCCCTATCTTTAAAAAGGGTTCACGTTGTTCCTGCGATAACTATCGGGGGATAAGTCTTCTTCCGATTGCGTCCAAACTATTGGCTTCTGTCATTCTTCGTAGGTTGTTTAAAACCTGAGAACGATTCACTTGCGAGGAGCAGGCTGGTTTTCGTTGTGGTCGAGGATGCATTGATCACATCTTCACCCTCCGCCAAATGTTAGAACACCGTCATACTTATCACAGGCCAACAATCGTAGTGTTTCTTGATATCAGGGCTGCCTTCGATTCGTTGGACAGGACTGTTCTCTGGGATTGTCTATTGAAGAAGGGTGTGCCTGAGAAGTTCATTAACATCTTAAAGGCCCTGTATACGAACACCTCAGGCAGAGTAAGGGCATACAATCACCTTTCTCCCTTGTTCCATTCGAGCAGTGGGGTTAGGCAGGGTTGCCCGATCTCACCATTCCTCTTCAACTTTGCCATCGACGACATCCTGGAAACAGCTCTGATGGATGTAAGTAATGGCGGTGTGGATATGTTGCCTGCAGAACGACTTCTCGACCTCGAGTATGCGGATGATATTGTCTTACTGCGTGATAATGCCCAAGCCATGCAATCCGCACTTAATCAGTTGGCAATCAGTGTCCGCAGGTACGGCATGTGCTTTGCACCCTCCAAGTGCAAAGTACTCCTACAAGACTGGCAGGATTCTCATCCTGTACTCACCCTGAATGGTGAGCAGATTGAAGTAGTTGAGAAGTTCGTGTATCTAGGTAGCTACATAAGTGCCGGAGGTGGCGTGAGTGATGAAATCGATGCACGTATAATGAAAGCCAGAGCGGCTTATGCCAATCTAGGCCATCTTTGGCGCCTTCGTGATGTTAGTCTGGCTGTAAAAGGTCGGATCTACAACGCGTCGGTCAGAGCAGTTTTGCTCTATGCTTGTGAAACCTGTCCTCTTCGAGTTGAGGACTCTCTGTGTTCCATCATCGTTGTCTCCGAAGGATTGCTGACATTCAGTGGCAACACCATGTTAGTAATGCAGAGGTTCGGCATCGTGTGTTGGGGCGCAGAGACGATAATTCAATTGGTGTCACCATCTTGAAACACCGACTTCGGTGGCTTGGACATGTTTTACGAGTGTCGTCCCAGAGGCTTCCACGTCGTGCATTATTTGCCGACTCTGGGACTGGTTGAAAAATGCGGAGAGGAGGTCAGTGTATGACATGGTGTCGTAGCATGAAAGAGAGCTGCAAAGGGCTAGCTTCTGTTGGTCCTTCACGACTCCCTGGCTGGGGTCCGAGAGATGATGCAACACAGTGGCTAGAGACGTTATCGGATATGGCTCAGAATAGAAGCCAGTGGCGAGCCTGCTGTAACCTTCTTCTACTTTCTTCATAAAGAGTGGCTATAACTTTCGTAACTGAGAGAGCTCTTCTGGTTGTACATTCAGTTCCCCCCATCATTACTCTTCTCCTTTTCTTTTTTTCCTTTTTTTATATATACGCATCTTCTTCCTTCTCCCATTCTCATTATTTTGTGTGGCGCATATGTATCCGGTGCCCTTTGTACCAATATATATGTGATTAAATAAATAATAAATTGAAAGACATGGCTCAAAATCGTTTGCAATGGTGCAGGTGCATCTACTCTTTGTGTTCTGCCAAATTCTAATCCTCTGAATTCCTCATGTCCTTATCCTTTTTCTCTTTCCAAATTTATTTCACTGTATTACACTCCTTGAATAACATATTCAAACCCTAATCTTTCGGTTTACTGCTTATACTCTTACTACCTCTACCACTATGGGATCTGAATCGACAACTGCATCTCTGTGCTAATGTGGTATGGCAACTCGAACTGATGTATGTACGTACGAAGTTCTACATTGTAACTGACTGACGAATTATTATCGCCCTAAAAAATAAGTATATATATTTGGGACTGTACAACCTTGAAAATGAATTTGCCGAAAAGAGACCTCTTCGCGGAACCAATTTTTCTTATTTAATGTCTTAATTTGTTCAGCTTATTTAAGTTCAATGTTTGCATTTGCGTTAGTGTCATATTTCGTGTAGTATGTAAGCAATCAATGTGGGTCACGAGATGCTATGTGTTTACGTTTTTCCATGTTTGTATGCCATTTGAACAGTAGTGTTCACTGATAACAAATGCTAAGTTATCATTAGTAGTGGCATTTGCCTTCGTTAATCTTTTGTCTGTGAAGTGCGCATGTGTTTGTTTGCATAAACAAGCAGTCAGTTGGTCTAAATCTTTGTACAAATGAGTGACTAGATAAAGTTGTCATTTGTTACTGTGTTTATGTTTGTGTGTTATTGTTTGGAGTAGGTAGGACGCATGGGTTGGCTATTTGGTGTTTGTATTGTTGTGTTTGTTTGTATATCTGTATATGTCTGTTGCAGTAGAATTATCATTCGTAATTACAATAGTAGTAAGTAATGAAATTTACCGGATGATGTATGTGTGGGTTGTGTTTAGTAGTCATAGATACACTAACTCATCTGTTGGTCAGGGGTTTAGGAAGTTACTTTGCTTTTATTATATCAACAGTCAAATAAGCGTATATACTAGTGATACACATGCGCATGCAGGCATACACTTGCGTAGAGACGATGATTAGGAGAGGGAGGAGGCGATGAAAGTAAACACTCACAACCAGCAGTTGCATACAAACAATTTTTATGCCAATAAATAAGCAAGTAAAAGTCTTCGTATTAGCTTTTAAATAGTTTCAGTGTTTTCGCATACGTCTACTGTAATGGTAGCGTTGGTGTGAGCGTGTAAATGATCATATTGTTCATTATATGAAGTACTTTTTTCATGACAAGTCAAATATGAAGTTATTTGGAGAAATACGATCATAATTGTTGTTGCTATTTTTGTGGTTTTCACATTGGAAATATTTCCATTATAACACTGGTCAAGTGTGTGATCACTTATTAGAAGAGACAAAAGGTGGGACATATATATATATGTGTTTGTGCATGATAGTAGTACATAAATAATAATAATAATAATAATAATAATAATAATAACAGTAACATACAAGTTGTTTGTTGAGATAATCGGCTAATTGTGATCTCTGTGTCTTTGTGTACGTGCTCATGTGTATATCTATCTAGTGAAGAAAGATCCCTATGCGTTTGAAGATGATGAGAATGATGAGACGGTGAACAATTCTGGGAACTCACTACTTCATCCTGCATCTGGTGTTAATAATAGTAATAATACCAATACACAGGCAACAGGCCATATTGGAGTTCATTCTAGTTGCGGTGTTAGTGTTGGTACTCCAGTCAATTTCAATAAGTCAACTTCTTCCAATTCTACCATTTCTACTACTACTATCACCACAATCACTACTACTACTACTACTACTACTATCGTCAATACAAATACGAATACTAGTCCAAATAGTAATACCAGTATTGGTAGTATTGATTCACTATCAAAGCACACACGTCAACTGTCTTCTTCCAATTTGTCAACTACTGTGGAGTGTGGAAATATAATTTTGGATAGTAGCAACGATAATACATTGACAGGTACAATCAATAGTGCATTTACTACAACTATTGCTCCCAATAATAGTAGCAATTACACAACTAGTAACAATAACTGTGGTAGTGTTGGTGGACCTCCGCTTCGGCTTCGTTTTGCGAAAGAAGCCGGTCAATATACTTTGATGGAACATCAACAACAACAGATTGATTTATCCCTTTCGAATTGTGAGACAAATCTTGTTCCTTCATCAAGTGGAATTATTTGTACAACAACTGAAACGTCTCATGTCGCTGTCGTTAGTGATAGCGACAACGATCACAACAACATGAATTTTCAAATGAATATTAATAATAATAATGGTAGCGACAATGTTAGTAATGAGCATAACTCCAATATGGGTACATCGATGACGATAAAAAGTGAGTCAGTCACCGTATCAGGTGATGAAGAATTGAATCATGTAAGTCAATTATTCTGACATTAATCGTAACTGCTCTTGAGTGTTTATTTTGTACAAATTAACAACCAGCTGATTAACATTGTGTTGGATAAATGTGCTGAGTAAATTTTTTGTATATGTGTGTGCAGGGTAGTCAAATGTAGTCAAATGTTTAATCACCGTTTCCAGTTTGTTACATTGTTTGTTTTTATGTCTAGTGTATAGGCTCTGTCGTTGAAGTATTACGGAGGTGTTAATGTGTGTGTGTGTGTGTGTTTGACCGATTTAGCGTGTTCTGTTTGTCAGTTCAGTTGTTTGTAATTGAGTGATCTTTTTCGCTTTGGCATGCGTACAATGACTGACACTGGTTATTTGAGAATCCGTTTTCGGATTTTCGAAGCTGTCGAGTTACGAGTTTGTGAACCTGAGTGTTGGTCAGGTTATTATTGTAGGTTTAGACATTCACTTTTCACCCACTTTCGGGTGTGTTGGGAACGGATAAGTGGTAAAGCTAGCAGTGAAACACACAGAGAAAGTATGAATCACAAAGCCGATTTCATGATTATGTACATTTTGATTGTTGACTTGTATCTCATTTTAATTTTGTAACCATTAATTTATAGTTCATACTTGTGCCCCCATCTCCCTATCTTGTTATTGTGAGTTAAAAACAGTAATTGAGCTTAGTTGTTCTGGGGATAGAATAGTGGAACAATAGTTTAGATACTAAAACGCTGGTTCTGTTATAGACCAAGTATCCGTTGCTTGTCTGTCTGTCTCGTAACTGCACTTACTGTAGATAGTACTGTCATAATTTCTCTTCATATGACCCAGCTATTCCTATTGCTTAGTATTCTTGGACACCAATACACTCGGCAAGTTCTCAAATGAGAACACGTTTGAATAGGGAAGAAATTATATTCCGAATAACAAGAATGAATGGAGGTAAGAAGTGCAATAAGAAATACGTTAGTATATTTATAGTTTTACATGAGAAGATTCTAGAGTCTTCTCCAGGTATCGGCTAGCGCTGATTGGATAGGAATTAGCCAATCCGAAATCGGCCAAGTGATAGGTACACTTGATTAACCAGGAAATGACTTTTATTGCTGAGAGATGTGATATGCCCCAGTGGTGTCTTACTTTAGTGAGGAATAAATATATGTATGTATGTATGTGAATATGTACACACACGGTCGATTCGGTGCAGTCAATAAACTTCATTTTTCAGTTTCGGTGTCTACGAGGTTTTTCTTTTCTGTTAATTCTCTGACAGGTGTCTACATCATGCCATTCAGAGTCATCAGGAGGCGAAGAAATCTCGGCACAGAAGGTTCCTCCTTTACGTATTAAATTTGCTTCGGGTACTTCTGGAGATGAGTCGTCATCAATGACTTCATCGTGCATGTCAGTTGGAGCAACTTGTGGTGGATTGACAACTCATCCTATTAATAATGTGGAGAATAATTCGAGTAATGAGTCGAATATGAATGATAAATGCGACGTGAAACCTCGTGTGTCTGATGACGGTTTGATGACTGTGAATAACAAAAGTGATGGTAAGGAGGCTGGAGTCACTGTCACTTCTATCGTTTCGACGAGTGTCGTTTCAGTTCCTGAAAAAGTTTCATGTTCAAGCGTGGAGAATATCGGCGACGGTAATAGCGGCAGTGGTGCTACCACCGTTACTGCTACTGGCACTACCGAGACTGTCCACGATCAATATTCTAGCCACCATGAGAAGTTATCTAAGTCTTATGATCATGTTGTTGCAACGAATGTACACCATAACGAATCGAGTACAGAGTTGTCCATATCCTGTACTCCCCCATCGACATGTACCACAAGTACTGGGATGAACACTAGTGTGAATATTACAAGTGGTGTTAACACTGTTGAGATGAGTAGCAATCGTAGTAATGCAAGTAATGCTAATCGGGTGAAAGTGGATAATACTCTGGAGACGAGTGAGTGTCATGGAAAGAGTGGCAATAATAATAGTAATCATAACAACCACACTCACAATCGAAATAGTAATAATAATAATACGAATAATGGTAATCGAGAAGTGTCGAAAGTGAGTTTACGTGTTTTTGTATGTTTATTGATGTACGTAGTTGCATTAGTCACTTGAATGTTGTAATTGTGACAGAGCGTACTGAAGTGTAGTTAGATGTAGCTATTGTTGAGAAAGTAGATAGAATTTTGATCAGAACAACTTTTGGGAGAAATTTATCTATTCTGAATGTGAAGAAGACGGAATTTTCTTCTGCTTGAACTATTTGTAAACATATGTGGTTTACAGAATAAAATTGTGTGATGAGAATGTTTGACGCTGCCGTTGTTGTTGTTGACGATATAGTTTCTATTGTCAGTCCTGTGACAGTGTCTAGTGTGTGGTTATTGACGGTTGTTACCTTAAGCTTATTGTTCCAAGGGTTGTAATAGAAAACAAAGATTATGAGGAAAGTAAAGTGAAAGTGATCACGTTGAATAATGAAACGAGATTATCAGGATAGGTTTAGGATGGGAACGAACTGTTTTTGAATACATAAAGGGAGTTTCAGTTTTCGTATGGGATTTGTTACTTTTTGTATGAATCTTTTTCAACTTGTCTGATTGTTTCGTTTTTCATGTATTCATGTTGTAGGATACTCACCGGCATCGTAGTGGGCGTACATTACGTTCACATACAGCTGCTCAACGTGAAAAAGAAGAGAAGGAACGTCACAGTAAGCATTTTGTTAGTGCAGTGTTTGTAGTATTTTGATTGCAGTTCCTCTTTATTGACAGGAAACAGTTTGTGATGGATTGTAGAAGAAATCGGTGTTGATTTGATGAGGTCGAAATAGGAGTGTGATGGAAGATTTGTGTATGTGTCATTAGTACTATGTAATTTGGAACTTATGAATTACCCTGTATTAAGTGGATGAGACGTGTCGACGACGAAGTAATGGCCTAGTAACTAGATTATATTCATAGTTTTGCTTCTATTCGTGTTGACTGATTGATGTTTGTAGTGTAATGGATGGATGAATGGTTTAATTTTGTAATAAGCTCGAGTTTAATACACGCACATTGTTATGTTGCCAGAAGAGTTAACATTGTATTTGATTGTGTGAATATGTAAAAATGTATAACTCATCATTCAGTTGGTCAGCCAATCTTTGGTACTATAGAGCATTAAAAAGTGCATCATCATCACATAGAATGAATGACACAAAACTATTGTGTGAATAAATTGCCAAGGTAAAAATGATGTACTTGAAGTGGTGAAATACTTCAGAAAAGTAGCTCGCATAAAACCGAAAGTGAGTAAGATTTGATTTTTCTTGAACATATCATTGTGGTATTTATCAGAAAGAAACAAGTGATTGATCGGAGGCTTGATAACAACTTCGAATCTATGTTAGGAAGTCGTACATCTTTTATGAAGGCAGTTCCAGAGTATAGAACTCATCTGTGAATGGCGACCGTTGATTGCTCATAAAGTCAGTGAGATTGTGATAATGTTTTCGATCAGTTTTGTAGAATGTAATTATTATGCGTTGACGACAATACTTTTTTTTCTATTTAGCGGATGATGCTACTCCGATTAAGAAGCGTAAACTTCGTTCTCGTTCGGATACTGTGACAAATCATGAGAATATCAGTCAACAGAGTCGTAGTGGTAGTGGAATTGGGACAGTAAATGCAAATAATTCACCTATAACAACTGTTCATGCTGGTTCGTCAACTGAATCTTCTAATGTGTCGTCTTCAAATGCTGTTGCAAACATGGATGTGATTGAAGATACACATGGTTGTTTAACTGTTACTGTTTCTTCTCAAAGTGACAGTCACATGGGTAGTGAAGAGAAGAAGGTGTCTGTGGGAAGTTCTCAGTGTACAGTGCTGACTGATAAAGATACTACTGATGTGCATATGACTTGTGTTTCTGAAATTGAAGGAGGACATTCTGTTTCATTGTCTACCACTGCTACTACTACTACTACTACTACTACTACTGACAATGATAACAGCAAGAAGATGGAAGTGGATGAAAAACCAGAGATGTGTGGAACTGCTGTGTCAGTTGCGAAATTGAATATGGATGGATCGAATGATGTGGATGTTGTATCATCAGTCTCAGAAGTAGGAGCAACGACGGTGGTAACAACAACAGTAGATATAGCAGGAATAGCAACATCGACTCCATCATCATCGTCATTGGGGGAACAGACAGGTGGACGTTCTAGTGAAGCAGATTGTGACATGAGTTATTTATTTTGTCCCTCTGCTCCTGGAGATGAAGATCGTAAAGATATTGAGTTGTTGAAATTTCAAAATCCATATGGCAAAGCTGCTGAATTGAACAAGAATGTAAGTGGTTTCATTCATTTAGTATTAGTGATGATGAATGTTGACTGGTTGGTTGGTTGTTGAATGGTGATACATTTGAGTAGTATTTGTAATAGTGTAATGTTTGTTGAGAAAGTGTTAACAGAAATATTATAATTATTGCTTTGTTTTGAGTGAAATAACACTGTTTGAAGAGTTACATTTCGATAAATTTGACTATGTATGACAAGTGTACTAATGAGATTTATAAATTCTTTGCATGGTTTGTTTTGATGGATGGATGTTTGATGCAATCAACTATACTACTTCAACAGTTACGTGAACTTGTCAATAATCTGGTGAAGGTCCATCCGAAAGCACCTTGTGGTTATCAAGATTACCTGTTGGTTACTCGTAATTACCTATTGGCTAATCAACTGTCATTTGCTACATATGTGAAACGTGTAAGTTCTTTATTATTTTGTGCATTATTTTTTAGTAATGAGTGAGTGTTGTGTAGTGATAGTGGTAGTATTGGTTGTATTTAAATGATAATTATTGGCTTTGTATTAGTTGTAAATACTGTTTTGTTTGGTGGAAGTGATTTGTAATTTTAGTTGGTTGAATATGGTGTGATATTTGGCGACTTGAGTTTATCATTGTCATTTGTAAGTGTTTATTGTTCGATCTGAAGTGTGTATCTTTGTGCTTTTTACAACCGCCTATAATAAGAGCAGACTACCTGAATTCGCCACATCCATGTGTATGTACCAGTTGAACTACTTCTGTGGAGCCAGTTATGTAGGGCTAACGATTCGGCAAGTCCATCATCGCATTGCATAGCACCGTCCGTGTTGGTTAAGCAAAGGACAGATAAGAAAGGTTAAGAGTTCTATTCTCGCTGACTTTGTAAGCACAGGTCATCAAGTTGACTTGAATAAAGCTTTCAAGGTTATCTACCATATTCCATCAAATTTGCTATATGGTTTACGAGTTCATCTGTTGCATGTTACTGAAGCCATTGGAATCCATATTCATAAACCCCAAGTTTACATCGGAAAGAGGGTTGTACAACTATTCTTGCCACCTTGTATATCCGCATAGAAGTGAGTTTGTAGCTGAACTTTTTTGAAACACTTTCCATCAAAAATATTTAAACTGTTTTCTAATTTCTCTCACTTTTGTATTTTTACATATTCTCAACATTCGTCTCTAAATTCTTACATAACTACAATCATACTGACCTTTCATCCAAATATTTTGTTAATCCCTTCTTTTTGTATATTATGCAATACAGCAACTGTTCAAATTTTCGAATGATTATTTTGATTACTATGATCCCCCTCTTTCCAATTACTCAATATTATTTTGTAATGAATGTGTCATTATACAATTATTATGTAACATAACTACTCTTGCTTCATAACTTTCTTCCTTCCTATACTATATCCTTATATTCAACCTATCTTTTATATACTACCACTACTAAATGAACTACTTCTATGAATACAGTGTTCATCTTGTGCTAACGAGGTATGACAACTTGGACCGATGCATATATTTGCCTCGTCCTACGTTGTAGCTGACTGACTGAGTGAACATAACTACTCGATGAGTACTATTTCATTGCTGTAAATGATACATATATACATTAGTGTAGAGTCATGATGAGAATGTATTTGGAAAGAAATTTTTTCATTCGATTCGTTTATCTTTGTGTTGTTTCAATATTGACTTGAGTCGAAATGAATTGATTTGTTTTTATAAGATATTTTGAATCACGTTAGTTGCTGTGTATGGTGATGTGAGTGAGGTTTGTGTGGAGGTCCTAACTACGTTGATGATAAGTGACTAATTGATCATTCCAGTGAGCTGTATGACCTGTTATGTGATTGCACTGACTGATGGACGAGTGCCTACACTGTTAATACTACCACCACCACCACCACCACTAAATTAACTACATCTATGAATCCGGTGTTCATCTTGTGCCAGCGAGGTATGGCAACTATGACCGATGCATATATGTGCCTGGTCCTACGTTGTAGCTGACTGACTGACACTGTTAACTATTCGGGTGACCTTGATTGTTAATTTGTGTACTAGAATGAGTAATTGAAAACGGAAACATTGTGGTGTTTTACGATTTAGTGGTTATTTCAGCCATGAATGATGAAATGATAGGATGAGACGTATAAACATTGAGGCAGTTTATTGTATGAGTTATTTCGAACGTTGTTTGTTCTTTTTTCGAGTTGTTTATCAATCAATCAATCTGTTTGTTTTATTTATTTATCATGTAGTCACCACCGAGTCATTTGGAAGCGACATTTGTGGAATTATTCAATGAACAAGAAGAAGAACGCTATGCTCAGGCATTGAAACATCAATCAGAACGAGTGAGTGTTATTATTTACTGTGTTGGATGCATTTTATGTGTGTGTGAGGCGATGGTTCGCAATAGAGTGTTTGAAAGTGAAGCATTTTGTCAATGCTTATTAGTAGTAATCTGAGCACTGTTTGTATGTGTGTGTGTGTGGATTTGTATGACTACAGAGTTGTTAAGTTAAAAGATATAACATATAGGAAGTGTTGTAGTGAACAGAACACTTTCAGTTCTTTCCTCATCGGTCTTCTGCCAAAATACATTGTATGTCTGACCCACACCATATACTACTTATATGGATATAAGTAGACCACACCACTGTGTGACTTCGAGTTATGTTAGTTGACGAAGATCGTTGACGAGAGCAGTAAGGCATAAACTGTCCACTGTCGTAAAAGTCGTTTTGATGAATGTGAAATGTATTATTTTGTTGTGTGAACAAGAGAATAAACTATTTATTTGTCAGTGAGGGGGAAATCGGGATGGCATTAACATGGTGTTGATACTTGTGGATTATTTTGCCAGTCTTTTTTATTATTTGAATTGTAATTTTCATAATGGTTAACGGATTTCAGGTCTGTATGTTTATGGTAATGACAAATGTTTGTTTGGAATACACTGAATGTTCATTTCAACTGACTTTTTCTAGCCATTTATTATTATTGTTTGTAGGAACATTTACAACTGGGTGCAGAACAAGCTGTTTTACGTGCTCAAACACGTGGTGCATTAGCAGTGGCCAATCAATCGAAACCATATTCGTTTTGTTCAATATTATCTTATAATGATTTGACGTATATTCCACCGGTTGGGAAATTAGAGAATCGAGTGAGTAATAGTAGTAGTATATTTATTTTCTCTGTTTTGTTTGTTTGTTTGTTTGTTTATATTGTGCTTATAATTCGAGTTTATGAAATGAATCAGTGATGTGTTGTAATATTAGTCGGAGCTGTGTATTGGAATGAGTATTGGAAGGTGGTGTTGTTGATGTTGTCAATCCTTTCTGATTATCATCTGTTGGTGATATGGTTTATGTTAGTTTTGTATGTATGAATGTATTGTGTGTGTGTGTGCTGTGAAGCCAAGATTTATGTATTGGTGCTGGAAGTTGGTGAAGAATGTATTCAAAATGATCGACTTGTGTTGAGTGTGCTTGTTTAGTTTTCCATGTATTGGTTTGTAAAGCTGAGTTTGTATGTTATTTGGTTTTTGGAGTTTTCTGTACGTTGTTCGTTGTTCTCGTTACTACTGTTGACACAATACATTGTGAAATTGTGGTCTTTCTTGAGATTAAGATCCTTATTCGACTGAAAAACGGAGAACAATTTTGTTGAAGTTCTGCTCTCGATTGCTTAAAATATGTGTGGGCGTTTATGCTGTGTTTGTTGACTCATATGTACATTTGTGGTGTGTGCTACTTATGTCAATAGACATGGGTAGTATGTAACACTAGTCAGATATGGAATGTCTGGCAGCGAAAGCTTGGGAAGATTGAACTGGAGAAATCAGAAATGGAAACTATCAAGGAATTGAGAAGTGGAACAATCATGAGGGATGTAGAGGATAATTGATGGATGATTTGCAGATGAAGTATTTGATGTATGTTTTGAACAGTACATTCGGATTCATTTATCCAGTTGAATTTTCTGTTTACTAATCTTGTTTTTTGTGTGGAATTGTGTAATTGTAAATGAGTGGTAGTCGTAGTAGTAATAGTAGTTACAATGTATGCTTCAATATGAACGATCACGAATAGTGTTGTCCTAGTGACTTCTCGTTGTTGCTGTGAATGATTGTCTTGTTTTGAAGTTTTTCTTCAACTGTGTGTTGTGTTGCTGTATATGACTGTTATTGATGTTCTGGTGACTCTGTAGTTAGTTGAATTGAGTAATTTTGGCAGCTGGATTTTGTTGTGTATTATAATTTTCTAAACCGAATTTTGTTTTACTGCTGTCCAAGTAAATTAATTGTTCACTGTATTCGGTTTTACATGTTGTGAATGAGAAGAATACTGATGGTTTGTTGCATGTTGTTTTGTTGAGATAGGAATCATATCACTCGGTGTAGTAGTGTAGTATGAGACGTTTAATGGTAGTGAGTATTACGTACCTACTGTACTAGCTAACTCTCCTACGTATTATGAACAACAGTTTGGCTGAAGACAACGCATATGAGTGTGCATATTTAATTGGTGATTTACACTGTTATCGTAGATGTATATTTGTGGTGGTGGTGGTATTGTTGTGTAGTTGTTGCATAGAAGCAACATTCTTTATTTGTCTGACATTTACTTGTTGATTGTGCGAAGTGTGGACTTTATCAGCTGTGTGTAAATGACAAACAAGAAATAGTGTTTATGATTGTGAATTGCTATCCATCATAGGTGTATTGTTTTACATTGTTGTGTTATCCGTTTATATATATATATATATATATATATATATATATATATATATATATATATATATATATATATATTTCCAATTGTGTGTGTGTTTTGATGTGTTTTTGCAGGAAGAAGAGAATATACGTGATCGTTTTACCCCTCGTACATTTATCGGTTGGCTTCAAGACATTATCGATACATTTCAAAATGAAAAGGTGAGCTGAAGCATCATTAGATTGTCATTTATTTGGAGGTTGTGAAGCTACATGATAATCCTGAACTTTTTAAAGTTAAACTCTTGATTGACTGATTGATTAATATGGTTGAAGTTGTTTTGCGATGAAATAACAAGATGAAGGAATTTGTCAGGTACGATGGATGAATAGAAATATTGATACAAACGACGAAGTCGATCATCTTGACGATAAAATGAGATTATATAAAAGAGCACTTACCATATAAAGTGTTAAGCTTATGAGTAAATAAAGTGTATTGATATTATCATGGGTGGTGTCCGAAATGTGATACTGATACACGACGTGCTACATGCTGATCCCCTACCTGACTACTTAAGCGAAAATACATGATTGAACGAGAAAGTACTTTTCCCTACCGAATGACATGCACAAATGCTGATATATATATACTCCGTAGAAAATCAATCCATTTCTTAACGAGTGATATACAATAGTCTTCCAGATTAGTTCTGAATGTGATCGAGTGACCTTCTCGTTTGGCCACTTCTGATTGTCTCACTATGTCACTTGTCAGATGAAAGGCTAATTCAGTCATTAAGAATACTCTATGGATGAAATCACTGCACTCTGTTAACTGAGTCTAGATGTAGGACTTCACGACACTGTGACTGGAGTGTTATGACTGTTTGATGAAGTTTGGTTGTGTATGTGAAGTTGTTGCGGATTGATCGTAGAGTGTGTAGTGTAGAGAGTGTAACAACATCAAGTACTTTATTTTATGTCTGTTCATGGTCCTCCACTCACTCTCTTGTGTGTTTGTACATTTTTGTATTTAGAAGAAATTACTCTGTCGACAACTTCATGAAGCTGAATCATTGATGATGGTACAGAAACTTGATTGGGAGATGAAAACCCGCGAAACATTGGCATCGAACATCGATTGTATTGGTGTTGTGGATGTATTCAAAGACATTCCAGCTAATTATGTTCCACTGATCCCAGTGCCTAATGACTTTCCACTATTCGCTCATGATCCGGTACATCGAACGACGACGACGACGACCATAACGACAGCTGGGCAGACGGCGGCAACAGCAACGACAATGTCAACCACACCGAGTACTCCGATCCCCATCACTCATACTACCAACACCACCACACACACGGCTGTGAGTAATAGCCCAACAGTATCAGCAACGACAACTACGCCGACTAACAACTCATGATCGACATGAAGAAGGAGATTTGTTTTGATTTTCTGAGTAATGAAATCTATGTGTTATGTCATACTTCTCATTTCCTAGCTTCGATCTGATTTTGCCTTCTCATCTCAACAGAAACGACAGATAAACTGACTTTCTCTCCTTCTTCCTCTGCATCGTCATATTGATTTTGTGTTTTTTTGTGTGTGCATGTGTCTGTTTGTTTGTGTACATATTTTGTATGTTGATGGATTGACTGATTTTCTATGATTTCCTGTTGTTATCATCTTTGTGGTCGTCAGTATTTATGGGATAATAATGTGGTTACTGAATGTGTATCTGGTGGGATTGATGATGATGAACAGTTTGTGTGTGTGTGTGTGTGTTGGAGTTTTATTTATGTGTTGTGGTGAAACTGTTTTTATGATGTAATTTGCCAATGTCAATATGATTGGTTATAATAATTACTAATTTTACAATGATTTATATAGTTTACTTTTTTATGTATTCATCCACTTATGTGTGTAATTAATGAAATGCCTGTTTATGTACCTGAATTATGTAACTAAATATATTTATTTTATCCTTGGAATACCGTGGTTTTCCCTATTTTGAAGACATCCTGTTCAATAGTATGGTACCTAAGTTTGGAAATATCCCCAAGTGCACTGGTATGATGGAGTGTGAGGAAAGTCCACCCACCTTCTCTAAATGTTCACTTGGCCACGTGTATATAGCCATTGCGAGGGAAGTCGTACTCACTGCCTTCCCGTGGCACTGCTGTTGTTTACAAAATTGAGGGGACGAAAAGCGAATCTCCGGCGCTTTAACCGGGTTGGTGGATACGGAAAGTTCACCTAGGGGAATTGGAAAATCCTGTTTCCAAATCGATGGTGCACATAGGCTCTAGTATCCTGCTGAATGAACAAATGGTGTACGAACCAATCGTTGGTCACCGGCTACCATGGGACTGCATCTCCTCACGATGCTCCTACACTGCCTTGTGGATCAGACCTTTAGGTCGAAGGCTCCGGGTGTGGCTCCCTAGGGAAACCACTTGCTTCAGTTTGGGCACCTGGGCAGTATCACATCCTTCACACAAATCAAATGAGATTTCTTTTGTGCATATATATCTGGTGCTCCTTTGTACCAGTATTCATGTGCTCAAATAAATAAATAATTAATTAAACATATTCGATTATATACAATCTCTTTAACTTAGTAACAACAATATCTACAAAAAACATTGCAATTCATTATTGATTTATGGTTAAGTAAAATGGTTGAATATTGAAACCAATCACCTTGAATAACTAATCATAGACAAAAAAGAATTGTGCTGACATATATAAATAAATATCTAACTAATATGATAGAAATTTTCTTGAGCACTTATTTAACTAAAGTCAATGCGTTATTCATATGTAAGTTTGCGTAGATGCATATGTATGGATATGTATATATATGTAAGTGACACCAACATATGATAACATGTTATCTCATTTATTCATTAACTTAAATACACAAACGTGGTAAGCAAAGATGGATAGTGGCTAGCAGTGGAATCCATTTTGACGCGCGTTTCGTCCTATTTGGGACTCGTCAGCTGGATGTACCTGCATCTCAGAGTTGATGTTCACTCTGAGACTCGAACCCAGTACCTCTCGCTTGAAACGCCATCGCGTTATCCACTCGGCCACTGAGTCCTGATAGCCACTCGCTTGTGCAATGGGATGAAGTTGAAATTTACTTAGTATTGCTTGTTTGGATCTTCCCATTGATGTTTTTAGGACAGCAACTGGTCAGTCTGTAATTGGCATATGTGCATGCTGTGTGCATTGCCTCGATATAGCCTAAATTCACAAGCATGGTAAGCAAAGATTCACACCATGCTTGTGAATTTAGGCTATATCGAGGCAATACGCACAGTATGCACATATGCCAATTAGAGACTGACCAGTTGCAGTCCTAAAAGCATCAACGGGAAGATCCAAACAAACAATACTAAGTAAATTTAAATACACAAAGTTAGTGATAAAACTGGAAAAAGACATTTATCTATGTTATAAACGACAGGATACATGTTATTATGCTAGGGTTTCTTGTTATAACGGTCCTTTCACTTTTTACACGTATGTGAGACGTTAATTTGCCTTAGACGAATATCTACACTAGATTCCTACCCAGTGTCTCTTCTACAGGACTTCAACACAACTCAGATCAAGAACACGAGACCAGGACGTCAATATATTTCCACACCAAATCCGACAACAAGGAACAGTCAATTCATAATAAGGATAGGAGAATATATATAACACATATAACACCTGTCATGTCAGACTTAGCAAAACAACCAATCATTGTCATTCTCGCCCACACATCAATATATCATTTTTATATGGTATTGTGAAGTGTATTTTCTATTACTACTGATACTATAACTATCTCTACTATGAAATTTCTCTTGATATGGCGTGGCGACTTGATTCGATGAATATATGTCTAAGGTTCTATGTTGCTTGTGAATGGCTGGTTGACTTACTGACTGACTGAAATCTTCAACTAATACCATCAGAAATTTATTTTAACACTCCTGTGTTGCTACTGAACTTCACAAATTAAAACTACTCACTACGAGAATTTCAGGTCAGTGCTGGTTACTAGTAAGAATTACTATGTTTGAAGCAATTACGAGTTCACCTAGTCTGCGAACGGAACAAGGACTTGTGACCAAAAACCAATAAGCTAGCTATTCTGATGCGTCTCAGCGCCGCTAACTAAAGAGAGAAGTCGAAATCCGAACAGGGAATAAATATATTCCGCAAGAAGCCAGAGGCTTAAGCAATCCAAAAGACACAAATTAAACATATATATACAACATAAAACTGTTCTTAGGAAACGTTATAAAATAGCATACTAAAAGACACAACGGACCAATACCGTTTGAGATTTTCTCAAGTGGGAAATACGACATGAAGGTGGAAAGAGCGCTTTTGACACGGAAACAAGGAAATTCTAAATTCCAAAATAAAATCCCAAAAATAAGGAATTTACCAAATGAGTTATGGGGATCTAACATCCCCAACAAGAAGATAATCGAACTAGAAGAGATTAGTTTTCCAACGGTCTCTAGGTTTTAAATGATCCACCCACTGTCTATGATCTGTAATAAAAAAATATGTTTAATCTGAACTGATCTTTTTATAATTCTCATTTAACTACTAATTGAAAATAGATAAATTATTTAGTCCTAAACATAATGATATATTCATAAAATCCCAATAAACAGAAGATTAATTTTCCGACGTTTCGTCACTCAGTTTAAGCCACTTCTTCAGAGAATAAAAATAAATAAATGAATTTAACTAACTAACTTACTTACTTACACCTGTTACCCCTCGTCGAGGAGCATAGGCCGCCCACCAGAATTCTCCATCCAACTCTGTCTTGAGCCTTCCTTTCCAGTTGCTATTCATCCTTTTCATATCGGCTTCTATTTCCCGGCGAAATGTGTTCTCCGGCCTTCCTCTTTTCCGTTTCCCTCCCGGATTTCAAGTTAGGGATAGCCTTGTAATGCACATTGGTGATTTCCTTAATGTATGTCCTATCCACTTCCAACGTCTTTTCCTAATTTTCTCTTCAGCTGGAATCTGGTTTTTCCTCTCCCATAGTAGGCTGTTGCTGATAGTATCCGGCCAATGGATATTGAGTATTTTGCTATCATATGAGAACAAAGATTTTTACATATGAAGAAGATAAACAAATACAGAATAAGTGTATAATTAACATCTTATCATTTAATAATTTCTCTATGAATATTATTAGAAATGTATGAATCGGTATTAAATAATACCCCGAATGAAATATCATAGGTTGGTACTGTAGTTCTATCGTATCATCATGGTACAACAAAGCTCTAAAGAATTTTAAAACAACACACAATTAGAGCATACTATAAAACAATTAACAACCTTCAAAATGCTTTAGTTCGTATGAACGATAATATTCCCTTGATGTCGACACAGAAATGTTTATACATATTAGACTGCGTCTATTACTTACTTACTTACTTACTTACTTACGCCTGTTACTCCCAATGGAGCATAAGCCGCCGACCAGCATTCTCAAAACCACTCTGTCCTGGGCCTTCTATTCTAGTTCTATCCAGTTCTTGTTCATTCTTCTCATGTCTGTCTGCATTCCTCAGAGTAATGTGTTCTTTGGTTTTCCTCTTCTCCTTTGACCTTCAGGATTCCATGTGAGGGCTTGCCTTGTGACGCAGTTGGGTGACTTTCTCAATGTGTGTCCTATGCACTTCCAATGCTTCTTTCTGATTTCTTCTTCCGCTGAAATCTGGTTTGTTGTCTCCCACAGTAACTTGTTGCTGATAGTGTCTGGCCAACGAATCCGAAGTATTTTGGCGTTGACAACTATTAATAAACACCTGTATCTTCCGGCTGATGTTGGTAGTAGTTCCCCAAGTTTCCGCCCCATACAGTAGAACTGTCGCGTCGATTATCATGCTTATATTAAAGAGTTATCTAGTGAAACCTTGAATCGAGTTAATGTACATCTGAGGTACATAAAAATACTATCTAATTATCCTATAGTGATAAATATTATGACTTTTGTCCCCATCAACCATCACTTAGCAAAATCGCCTATCAGAATATCGATTTCTAGAACTTTGTCCCTGAGCTAAACGAATGACACATCAATCAGCACTGGGAGCTTTGAGTCAACTCTGAATGCTTACTGGTTCTCGATATATTAGCTTGTCGCCTAGCCCTGTTCGTTTAATCTAGAACACAGTCTCAGCCTCCACTGTATGAATAATATATTTCAGATTTACGTAGTTTATATACAAACAAACCAGACCACATTACATCACAAAATGAAAAATAACAATTATACAAGATCAAGTCAAAAGTGGCTGGAACTGTGAAAGACTATAACTACTAGATTAGGAATAAGTTAGGAATGGTCAGTCGTATAATAGTAACCAATATTCCGAGTGAAAGCTTATGATTAAAGGAATATGAATATACATATAATATAGTTACTTAATAGTTATACATCAAGGACATTGTGTATTTGTGTGTGTAGATTGTGTGGAAAATGAAGAGTCGAATGTAGATGTTTGGGTAAACAACTTGACTATAAAGAAGAGTGAGTAGCTGAAGCTTTTTGTTTGTTGCCCGGTCCTGTTACCCTCACTAGAACAGAAGATTTACCCTCCATCCAACTTGGACCATTTATCAAAGCTAATATGTTTAGTTCTATTCACATCTCATACCATTACCACAAATACAAATTCAACTCTAACTTTTACACTATTACATTTTTTGCACTTATTAAAATGAACACAAATACACAACCATGTATCACACAAGTAACCTTGACCGGAGCAATGTAACAGTGATCTGATCGGAGCTATTTTGCTATTATACTAAATATTTCTATCTCGTTCTTTTTTACTTCCTAAATTTACTTACTTACTTACGCCTGTTACTCCCAATGGAGCATAAGCCGCCGACCAGCGTTCTCAAAACCACTCTGTCCTGGGCCTTCTTTTCTAGTTCTATCCAGTTCTTGTTCATTCTTCTCATGTCTGTCTGCATTTCTCAGAGTAATGTGTTCTTTGGTTTTCCTCTTCTCCTTTGACCTTCAGGATTCCATGTGAGGGCTTGTCTTGTGACACAATTGGGTGTCATAACCTCGAATAGCCTATTGATAAAACGTGATTATATGAAAGACTTGTAATTTAAATACGAAGTATCAAATAAGGTATGCCCAATCCACATCCAGCTCTTCTTCCTGATTTCTTCCTTCGCTGGAATCTGGTTTGTTGTCTCCCACAGTAGGTTGTTGCTGATAGTGTCTGGCCATCGGATTTGAAGTATCTTGAGTAGACAGCTGTTAATAAACAGTTAGTTAAACACTAACTTCTTAAACTTGTGTTAATTAAATTCATTTATTTGTTTTTATTCTTTTAAGAAGTGGCTTACACTGTATCACGAAATGTCGGAAATTTGAAATTCTATTCATTTGAATATAGCATCCTCAGGTCTCCCGTACATTTGTTGGCAAGTGCTATTTGTTCTTTTAATGCTTACCCCAATTTCCGGCGGGATATGTTCTTTGGTCTGCCTCTTTTCCTTTAGCCATGAGGATTCCTAGTTACAGCAAGCCTTGAGTTGAAGTTTGATGATTTCCGAGAAGCATGTCTTATCCACATACAGAGGTCTTTGTTCCATTTCCTCTTCAACTGGAAGTTGGTTTATTTTCTGATACAGTAATCGGTTGGTGTCTAATTATATGTAGTTCGTTTATGTTCTTTGTCCTTATCCTATTTTCATTAACCCATTATTTTCTGTATTTTTGTACTACTTATCAGTATTTAGTAAACAGTGATACTGAGGTATGGAGGTGGTCAACAGTCAAGCAGTGTCGAGCCACCTAGACTGGTGGCCACATTGCAACTTGATCGATAGCATTCGATCAGCACTAAAGAAGGACTTGACACGCATGACATTGATCACCACCCAGTGATCAAACAATTGTAAACAGTGATACTCTTAAGAATTTCTACGCGTATACAGTAACGAAAGTTTATTTTTCGCATAATATTCTAAAGTATTTATATCTACTTATAAAATTACTATACTTAGCATTATAACTATTTGCCCTCAACCTCTGTAACAGTTATTCTCAATTTTATATAGTCCTTGAATCTTTGTTTAAACGCAACGACTACCATATTTGTCTGATTTTGGTTTCTTTTTTTCCTTGTTGATAAACTGTTGTCAACATTAGACACAGTTACCATTTGAACCATCCTATGCCATAATTATTCTTTATATTATTACTGAAGGAATCCTTTTTCCTTTCAGACCTTTATACTTATTAAGCGCCACAGACACAACGCCCTGTCGCTACTACCGATTGAATGGTTTAGTGAGGTCATTGGATTGGCTTCGTTGTAGTGACTTTGCCGCTCGACTGATGCTGAGAAGATAACCTAATTTGACTAGTTAGAAGAAGGAAAAGTCGTAACAAGATTTCCGTAGGTGAATCTGAGGAAGGATCATGAACATGACCCAAAAATATATAATGATGAATGCACCTGGCTTCGTGCTGGACTTCATGTACCCTGGCTTAGTGGTATTTACTCTAGGCTTCAGTGGTTGAATCAAGAGCCACAGACACCTCACAAGCTGAGGTTTGTAACTAATTAATGTTTATGCCTTAATAAATAACTGTTCTTTAGATAAGTCGTTTTTTGTATGATGTTTGGTTTCGTGAGTATCTTAATCGTGTGATTAGACACTTCAATAGAATTAACAATTTATATATATAACATGATATAGATTATGTTTTATACAGTGAGGAAATCACCAAACTGCATCACGAGGCAAACGCTAACTTGGAATCCGCAAGGGAAGCACAAAAGAGGACGGTCAAAGAACACATCACACCGGGAAATAGAAGAAGATATGAAAAGGTGAATAACAACTGGAAAGGATTACCCAGGACAGAGTTGGATGGAGAATACTGGTGGGCGGCCTATGCTCCTCGACGAGGGGTAACAGGCGTAGGTAAGTAAGTAAGTAAGTAATAGATTATGTTTTGTTGATATCCATTAGTTCTCAACGTAGACAATCAATCAATATAATTGATAAGACCTGTGAATCATAAATCACTATTGAGTACACCTAAAAGTTAAATTATTCATCACAACACCCCACTCTCTCCTTCGAACTAAATTGATTAGTTATGATTATTCGAATACTTTTTTAAAATTTATCAAATGACCTTGTGTTTGTGTGTCTGTTTTCCTATGTTTGTGTGTGTTCATCAGAAAAAATATAAATATGAGTCATTGTTTAAATTTGAATTCATTTAAATTCATTTCATTTTTTCTTCTTCTTGTATTCAAGTTGAATTATGCAAGTAAGATATATTTAATTAAAATAATTTATTGCGTCACTGAATAAAAATAAAGAGAATTCAGTGAAAGTTTTAATAGTTGAGATCATGAATCAATTGAAGCTAGACTACCATGGGAAACTTGGAAGCATTGGACGGTCGTTTCGTCCTATTGTGGGATTCTTGAGCAGTGCGCATCCACTATCCCGCCTTGTGAGATCCGAACTCTGGACCTATCAGTCTCGCGCACGAGCGCTTAACCACTAGACCACTGAGCTGGCCGGCATCCAACGGTGTTAATGTCTAACTTCAACCGATCCATGAAGTTGAGTGTCACATCCACCAGTGTCTTCAGTGAGTTACTATCTCACAACAGACCGGGTTGAACTCCACTGGATACTGCTTCTCACTAGGACTCCAGGAAATAACTCCTGAAGCCAGTCACTAATGAGCAATAGGACGAAACGACTGTCCAGTGCTTCCAGGTTTTCTATGGTGGTCTAGCTTCATTTGACTCATTATCTCAACTGCTAAAATTACTATAATATCTACAAAACCCCTTCTTATATTTAATATTAGTTTTATTCACTGCATAATATTGTATGATAATTGATTGTGTACTTTAAAATTTTTAATCTTAGCTATCAGAATTAATTTCAAATGCTATACAATATAAGCAAAGATGGACAGTGGCTAGCAGTGGAATCCAGGATGAGCGTTTCGTCCTATTTGGGACTCGTCAGCTGGATGTACCTGCATCTCAGAGTTGATGATCACTCTGGGACTCGAACCAAGTGCCTTTCGCTTCAAACGCCATCGCATTATCCACTCAGCTACTGAGTCCTGGATTCCACTACTAACCGCTATCCATCTTTGCTTACAATGTTTTTGAAATAAGGCTATATCGAGGCAATACGCACAGTATGCACATATGTTAATTAGAGACTGACCCGTTGCAGTCCTAAACATCAATGCTAAACAACATAATACTAAGTGAGTTATACAATATAGTTTATTTGTATTCATTAATGATTGAAATGATGTAGTAAGCATCAACATTGAGATTTAGGTAATTCGTTCGATGAGTATCAGATATATTAGTAAACATTCAGCTTAGATTATACTGTTAATTAGAATTATGAACGAATAAACTTTTGTATGTTATTTAAAATCAATTTTAGTTTAAATGAAATACGTGATAGTAAACTTTTAAAGTTCAATGTTACTTACTTACTGTTGTCTGTTATCCCCAATGGAATATAGGCTGCTGATCAGCATTCTCCAACCCAATCTGTCCTGGGACTTTCTTCCTAGTTCTATCCAACTTTTATTCATTCTTCTCATGTCTGTCTCCATCTCTCGATGTAATGTGTTTTTTGGTCTTCCTCTTCTCTTTTGGCCTTGAGGATTACAGTGAGGGCTTGTCTAATAGCCATATCAAATTGGTTGTACATCACACTTTCAATACTGAATTGTATAATTCAGTGAATCAACTATCATTCACTTCTATTTACTTCAAACTACATCGTTCTACATACATTCCCTATCTCGATCTTTCTTTCTATTTCTTTCTCTCCCTCTCATATGAAATACATTGAATAGGAAAATGACTTCATCATCGAATTCATTTTGTTGCCACGGTATGTTTGAATTTTGTTTATGTTAACATAGTTATATAATTCATGTGACAAATGGTTTAAACTTGTACTTTTTCATATTACTAACGAAATAATCATCCTATATACAAACTCACTCGATCATATGATTAAGTCACTGGTACATTCATATCAATACAGTTCCAAGTATAAGTACAAGTTAATAAAATAATTAAGAATTATCAGAAGGGGGAGATTTAGTAGTTTAGAGTAATTTTATATAGTTGAAATCATGAATCAATTGAAGCTAGACCACCATGGAAAGCCTGGAAGCACTGGATGACCGATTCGTCCTATTGTGGGACTTCTCAGCAGTGAGCATCCACGATCCCGCCTCGTGAGATTCGAACCCAGGACCTACCAGTCCGAAAGACCACTGAGCCTGCATCCAAATGTTTTATTGTCTAACTTCAACTAGTCCACGAAATTGAGCAACCATTCATCAATGTCTTCGGTGAGTTGATATCTTCCAACAGACCTGGTTGAACTCCACCAGTTACTACTTCTCACTAGAACTCCAGGAAATACCTCATGGAGCCAGTCATTAGTGAGCATATGATCATCATCAGAAGAATTAGACAAATGTATTTATAAAATTATGCTTTTAAAAGTAAACTGTTATAATCTATAAACATACATGATGATAGGATTGTTATTATTGAATGTGTTTAACTGTTTGTATCCGTAACATATAGAAATTGAGGACGAGGTTTGTTAAACTTAAATGCGAAGTGGATATCCAACTTCAGTTGAAACCATCTAGATAATTCATTTGACGCCAAAAGGCATAATGAAAGGTGTTTCTTACTAGTATGGAACTTGTAATCTGTTAATACTTATAATCCTAAGAAATAATAGACTTAGGATCCTTGAGATTTGCGTTTAATCTTTAGACTGCCAGATTAGAACCCTACGGTTAATATTTCAACTTTAATTAACTCATGATATGATTTGACAATCATCAAATGCCATCAAAGACGATATTCTCACTCATCGCTAGAGTTAAGTCCACCAGCCATAACTTACCATTTGAGGTGAAGGAAATCATCTCGCAGTAATTCACTGACTAAACAATTATTATATTTTGATCGGTACAAGGTTGTAGAGATTGCTGAGTCTTAAATTAAATCATGAACCGATCATTATTACACCATCACTGAAGACCTGGAAGCACTGGACGACCGTTTTGTCCTAGTATTGGACTCCTTAACACTGAATACCCATAATCCTGTACGGAGGACTCGAACCCACTTTTATATTATGATGAAAAACATCTTTGAATTAAAATGACTTCTCCAACAACCACAAGCAAAATATGAGAAATTTTTAAATTTCATGAAGTCAATTTGTTGGTCACAATCAGCACAACACAGAACAGTATGATGTAATTGGTGTTAATTTGATTGATTTTTCGTTCTTACTGTTATTGTTCGCGTAGTTCATTGCTACTGTTTGTATTCCATGTAATTATTAATGATAATTAATTTACAACAGATGACTCAAATAAAGAACATTTTTTTGTGTGATTGTGGGTATTTCCACCAACCCTCACTTTCAGTGAACATGTTATTTGTTTACCTGGATGAAAGTTCTTTGTAGTATTGCTTTGGTATCGAACATTACCTGAGAATATCTTAAACACATAATATAAACAAATGTAAGTGTTAAATGAAGATTTCTTTCTCAGTTACACGAAGTGTTTTTCACAATATCTCATTGCTAATACTTCATGAAACGCTGTTCTTTTAAGCAGATATTTCAGGTTTATCCTATTCATAATGTTTATTTTTAAAAGAAGGTGCCCTGTCTCATTGAGGGCTTCATCCACGCTTAAAACTGCCTGATGTATATTTACATCTGCTAATGGGGTATTGAAACTTGAACCGATGTACATACGTACAGATTCTTCCTTGTGACTAACTAACTGACTGACTGATACGTACATATATATATTCACATATAAGGATATGGATATAGATACAGATATATACCCTTACATACTCGAATAGTTAAGTGGAAGGATGTGACAAACCTACATTACCACAATTGTTTTATGACTTCAATTCTACGGTATGAAATGAACAAAATTATTCGTAAGTATATCGAAATTATATTAAAATTATTTCTTCAAGAAAGACTAAATATTAAAGATTATTTTGCAGATAGAAGGATTAAATTTGTGAAATAAATTATGATAAATAAAATGGTAGCTCAAAACTGAAAAATAGATAAGTAATGCCTATCTACATTGTTGGGAAAATTATTAAATATAGCTTGAGTTACTTATTTTTAGTAAGTACAATATGTAAGCAGAGATGGATAGTGGCTAGCAGTGGAATCCAGGACGCAGTCCTAAACACATCGATGGGAAGATCCAAACAAACAATACTAAGTGAGTACAATATGTAGTTTAAATAATTTTTTTCTGGAACAGTCAGTCGAATGGAATTCATCACTCTACACCAACTTCATTGAATACGAGAAGGCATTTGATAGCGTGGACAGGACAACACTATGGAGGCTTCTTCGACACTACAGCGTGCCTCAGAAGTTAGTCAATATCACACGGAACTCCTATGATGGACTGAACTGCCAAATCGTCCACGGAGGACAACTCACCGACTCATTCGAGGTAAAGACCGGTGTTAGGCAAGGTTGCTTACTCTCACCCTTTCTCTTTCTCCTGGTGATCAACTAGATCATGAAGACGTCAACATCTGGAGGAAAGCACGGGATACAGTGGATAGGTAGGATGCAGCTTTACGATTTAGACTTCGCAGATGATCTGGCCCTTCTATTACACACGCAACAACAAATGCAGGAGAAAACTATCACTGTAGCAGCAGCTTCAGCAGCAGTCGGTCTCAATATAAACAAAGGGAAAAGCAAGTTTGTCCGATACAATACAACATGCACTAGTCAAATTACACTTGACGGAGAAGCTATGAATGATGTGGAAACCTTTACATATCTGGGCAGCATCATTGATGAACTCGGTGGATCAGATGCAGATGTGAGGGCGCGGATCGGCAAAGCAAGAGCAGCATACCTACAACTGAAAAACATCTGGAGCTCAAAACAATTGTCAACCAACACCAAGGTTAGAATTTTCAATACAAATGTCAAGACAGTTCTACTGTATGTTGCGGAAACGTGGAGAATTAAGAAAGCCATTATCCAGAAGATACAAGTGTTTATTAACAGTTGTCTACGCAAGATACTTCGGATCAGATGGCCAGACACTATCAGCAACAAGTTACTGTGAGAGACAACAAACCAGATTGCAGTGGAGGAAGAAATCAGGAAGTGGATTGGGCACACTTTGAGGAAATCACCCAATTGTGTCACAAGACAAGATCTCACATGGAATCCTGAAGGTCAAAGGAGAAGAGGAAGACCAAAGAACACATTACGCCTAGAAATAGAGACAGACATGAGAGAAATGAACAAGAACTAGACAGAACTAAAAAGGAAGTCCTAGGACAGATTGGGTTGGTGAATGCGGGTCGACGGACTATGATCCATTGAGAGTAACAGACGTAAGGAGGTAAGTAAGTAAGTATCTTTCTACGATTAGTTCTTTGATTGATTCCCAACAATCCCTCACATATCATATATTAACTCAGATTATCCATATTTATTCTTATATATTTTAGAAAGAATATTCATCCAGTATTCTACATCAATCCAATCCGAGTCATAACTCATTCAAGAAAACAAAATTACCCCCCCAAAAAATCAATAAAATTATTGAACGTTTAACAAACTATGATAAAACAATTGGACCACCTGAATCAAATAGTGAAAAAATTTATTTAGGTTATGGAAGATATGAATATCCACATAGAAAATATATAAATAATGAATCTAAAAAATTAACTAAAACTGAGGTAATATGATTCTTCTCATTTCATTGGAGATTATTTTATTATAATGCAGAAGTCAGTCAGTCAGTCACAACTTAGGACTTCGTACGTACGTACTTACATCAGTTCGAGTGGCCATACCACATTAACACAGAGATGCAGTTGTCGATTCAAATCCAATATTGGCACAAGTAGTAAGAGTATAAGCACTAATCGGAAAGATTAGGGTTTAAAGATGTTATTCAAGGAGTATAATCCAGTGAAATAAATTTGAAAATAGAAAAAAGATAGAGACATTAAGAATTCAGAAGATTAGAATTTGTTCGAACACAATGACTGGATGCAACTTCGCCATTGCAAACGATTTTGAGTCATGTCATTCAAGGTCTGTAACCATCGGTTGCTATCATCTCGCGGATCCCAACCAGGTAGTCTACACCTACCAACATGGCTCAGCCCACATGTCAGTGACTTCATGGGTTTGTGCCACATTTTGGTCTGGCCGCCCCTAGCTCTCTTCCAACCTACTCCTACGCCATAAAACATCGCACGTCGGGGCAGTCGGTGATGGGGTATACGTAACACATGTCCCAGCCATCTCAACTGATTACGTTTCTTTACTTCATCAATCGATTTGCCAACCTTGCCCAGTACCCTTTTCCAAACAATTGCATTACTTACATGGTGGTCTCAGGATATACTAGTAATGCTTCGAAGGCACCTATGATCGAGTACTAGTAACATACGAATATCCTCTACTCTTACCAGCCATGTTTCATTGCCATAAAGTAGGACGAAACGAACAGCTGCGCAGTAAACCCGTCCTTTGGTTGCTAGATGGATATCTCAGCTACGCCATAAATGACGCAAGTTGGCGAAAGCTAGACGAGACTTCTGTATCAGTGCTTCAGGTGCCAATGCAACCCAATCCTGATTATTTGTTTAACTTTAAAAGATGAACGACTTTCTAAAATATTTCATTCATACTACATTAGCACAGAGATGCAGTTGTCGATTCAAATCCCATAGTGGTAGTAGTAATAAAAGTATAAGCAGTAATCTGAAAGATTAGGGTTTGAAAATGTTATTCAAGGAGTATAATCCAGTGAAAAAAATTTGAAGAGAAAAAAAGATAGAGACATGAAGAATTCAGAAGATTAGATAATGCAGAAATAATGATAAGACAAAATTTGGGGAAGAATTGAGTATAGTTCATGGTTTTGAGCTAGGGGGGATCTAATAAAGGATCCTTAAAGGAACTTTATTGTTGACCAGATGTTAAATTTAGTTAATATAGACAATCTTCTCACAGTTATTCTCTAGGATCTTTCCAATGAACACCACATTTTCTTTTTTCCCTACAGATAAACCTTGTTTTATGGGATCGTTAAGTCTATACGTATCAAATCTCCATACCTACATGCTATTTCAAGATTTGCGAATGAGTTAAACATTACTAATGAGAGATGGTTTTAAAAGAAGTCACTGATGCACTTATTGAAATCTACATTTGCTTGTTTGACTGGGAAGAATAATCACATATCTACCTATGATTTATGTAAATGATAATTCAATTTGATAGTTACACCTTCATATCAACTCCAGACTTCTCATTTGCTTAGAGAGTTTGGTGTGCCTTAGGAAGTGTATATCTTAACTGAATTGAGTCGCGGAACATAGCACTGTTATTATCATTGTTTTCTTGGTAGGTCAGTTTGTAAAAATCAATCCACTTTAAAGACAGTTTTTGTAGGAATAATGTTTAAGCTGAAAAAACCCAACTTGAGGTTGAGTATTCAGGTTAGATGAATCATTCTACTTCATTTCGTATATTTGTGTTAAGTCTTGAAAAGAACGATTATGTCTGTTGGAGTTTGTGGTTGACCTACGGCAAATTCTATTTATGAATGATTGAGGATTTCTAACATTCACACGAAGACAACAAATGTAGCAGCAGCCTCTGCATCAATAGACTTCAACATACTCAAAGGAAAATGCAAGATTCTCAAATGCAACACGGAGAACACCAACCCAATCACACTTGATGGAGAAACTCTGGAAGAGGTGCAACCATTCACGTACCTGGGAAGCATCATTGATACACAAGGAGGATCGGATGCAGATGTATAGGCGAGGATTGGCAAAGCAGGGACAGCATTCCTACAATTGAAGAACATATGGAACTCAAAACAAATGTGAATCAATAACAAAGTGAGAATCTTCAATGAGAACGTCAAGACTGTCCTACTCTATGGAGCTGAAACGTGGAGAACTACTACATCCATCGTCATGAGAGTACAAGTATTTTTTAACAGTTGTCTATGCAAAATACTCAACATTCACTGGCCAGATACTATCAGCAACAACGTTTTATGGGAGAGGACAAACCAGCTTTTAACTGAACAGGAAATTAGGAAAACACATTGAAAATGGATCGGACGTACATTAAGGAAATCACCAATGTGCATCACGACTCAATCCCTAACTTGGAATCCTGAAGGGACGAAGAAAAGATGAAGGTCAAAGAATATATTACGTCGGGAAATAGAAGCCGATATGAAAAGGATGAATGTTAACTGGAACGAACTGGAAAGGAAGGCTCAAGACAGAGTTGGATGGAGATTGGTGGTGAGCGGCCTATGCTCCTCGACGAGGGGTAACAGACGTAAGTAAGTCAGTCAGGCCATACAATATAACACAAACAACATCCAATGGGTTCGTTTTTTTCCTTTTCATCCCTAATATCTATCTATATCTATATTCTTTTTTATTTCTTAGATAGATAATTTAATTGAAAGATTAAAAAATGAAAAATTGCCAAACCTACCAAATACTCCATCTTATCCAAATACTATTTCATCTATGAAATGTAATTCAAAGAAATTACAAGAAATTATTGAACATTTAACTGCTTATAATCAATCCAAACTTCCTATAGAATCAACATTAGCTAGAAAATATCTTGGCTTTAATCGTTATGATTATGGTTGGTCATTTGAAAATCAAGCTAATTTAACAATGAAGAAGTTAACTAAAGAAGAAATTCTAAATGTTATTGAACGTTTATCACAATATGATATCAATAAATATCCACCAGAATCTAAAGGACATATTAAGAAATTATGATATTACTTAAATGGTAATCATTATATTACTTAATTCTAATAAACAATCATCTTTATTATTGTCAGTTTTATCAATGAATATTAAATGGTATATTATTATTATAGTGTTGTTATATTTCATAGTTAGATATAGTTGTCCCCCCGAAATACCCTAGTACGAACGAGGGTCGGGAGAGTCAACGCTTTCTTTCGAAATACTCTCACATGGCTACGTGTATGCAGCCACTATTAGGGAAGTCCTACTCATCGCATTATTGTGACACCAGTGTTGTTTATGAAATTACGAGGAAGAAAAACGAATATCCAGAGCTTTAACTGGGTTGAGGGATGCAGGGGATCCACTTAGGTGAGTTGGAAAACCCTGATTCCAAATCAATGGTGTACATGAGATCCAGGATCCTATGGGGACGAATAACGTACGAATCAATTATTAGTCACCACCTACCATTAGACTGCATCTTGTTACGTTGCTCCACTGCCTTGTGGATTATACTTTTAGGTTAAATACTCGGGGTGTGACTCTTTAAGAGACCCAATTGCTTCGGTTTGGTCACCCGAGCAGTATTACAGCCCACACACAAATCAAGTGACTTGTGTGGCGCATATGTATTCGGTGCCCCTTTGTACCAATGTTTATGCATTCAAATAAATAAATAAATATGGTTGCGTAATCATAGTTTCTCATTGAATGATCAAGTGTATATTACATAGGTAAACATAATTATTTAGGATATGCCATATCATGCGACTATAGATGCTACAGTTTAATGATTTAATTAAAAACTAAATATCAGCAGTCAAACATATATATATATATATATATATATATATATATATATATATATATATATATATATATATATATATATATATATATATAGGACGAAACTGGAGTCCTGGATTTCACTGTTAGTCACCAACTATCTCTGCTTATAATACTTGTGACTTAAGGCAATATCGAGGCAATCCTCACAGAATGCACATATGCCTATGACAGACTGATCAATTGCAGTCCTAAACATCAATCGGAAGATTCAAACAAACAATATAAAATGAATCTGCATCTGTCCACTCAGAAGCTGAGTGGATAATGCCATGTCGTTTGAAGTGAAAGGTACTAGGCTCCAGTCTCAGAGTGAACACTAGCCATCCAGTTGACGAGTCCCAAATAGGATGAAACGTGCGTCCTGGATTCCACTGCTAGTCATTATCCATCTTTGCTTATATAAATCTTGGTTATATTGTGTGACTAATGAGTAGAATTGTCATATTGTTGATTCAACCGATGCCTTATTTAACTATGCCCTAGGATATTTTGCCATTAGTATTTGAGAAGAGTGAATGAAATAGTTTATTTATATACATAGTGGAAGTTAACGATGATACTTTACTTATTAGACTTCTTCATGAGTACCAACTAAGAAACATTGCAAATTTTTAAGTAAACGAATATTTAAGAGTGGTGGAAGGAATTGATTGCATATTATTCGGTATTATTCAGTTCATTGTATCTGAAACTTGGGAAGAAAGTGAACACTAAAGGATAGGTTTGGATATTATATACTATTAAAGGAATATTATGAAATATGGCGAAGGCATGATGATGAAAAGATGAATATGTATTTGGTATTACATTATTTCCTTTACAGTGGAAGTTAGATCTAGTTATTCAAGTAGAAGAAGAGACATGAATCATTATTGGCATAGTAGGTATGCAGATATTATCACAGAAACCAAATGGTAAACCGTTTAAGTTTGATAATTGATGATCTTTTACTGAGGAGTTATTTTTAGTAATAATGAGACTACATTTTAAGGAAGAATTTGTCTTCAACGCTTCTTCTGTTTGTAAAATAAGCCAGGAAGATTTGAATCTGTAAAAAAGACCAAGGAACAACTTTTAGGAAGTATATTGAAGCCCATTGGAAAATATCTTGATACTACGCTCAACATCGACGATAGTGTTCTGTTACATCGTCACTATAGAATCTTCAGTAATAATTATACTACTTACAAATGTTAAGTAGCTAAAAGTAGGAAACTAAATTTTGGAACAGTGTGAACGAAGATTAATTATAAAACTTTTCGTTAACTGATTGAAATAGCATGTATATTCAACAAAATGTAAGATTAGAAACAACGTTTCGACAAACGTTTGTTAATGACATCTTACTCTCAAGTGATATCTGGTAAATTTTGGAATCTACTACCAACAATCCAGGTTTTCAATGGTAATAATCACCATGCGATTACTAGTGACTAACTCCGCCTGTAGCTCTTCCAGAGTTACTGCCGGTCCCAAGCTCACACAAAGGAGGAGGGTTGGGCATGGGGTTAGCGACCCCATCCCGTAGAAAAGCTAACTCGCTAAAAAACGCTAACCAGAAAAAATAATTTAAACCATTCAAACTCTGCCCTGGCACTTTAAGGAATAATTATGACGTCTCATGATGAAAGCCGAAATACTTCGGAAGTCACGAGACCGATGCACCTTCTAACAACCAGAGCAACACTCTTCATATCACACCTGGTTGTGGCCAAGATGAGACTGAAGCTAAAGAAACACTGGACAACTGGAAAAACAGCATTACAAAGGTTCAATACGGCCTTCCTTCGAGATACTGACAAGCTCCATGAATTCAAGATAACTCTCAACAACAGGTTTCAGGCTCTGCAGGATCTACTGAAAGAACAAGAAACTACTTTGGAAGACAACTGGAAAGGGATAAAAGAAGCACTAACGTCAACGTGTCAGGAGGTTCTTGGTCCTAAGAAGCATCATCACAAGGAATGGATCTCTATGGGAACCCTGGACAAAATTCAAGGAAGGAAGAACAAGAAACTAGCAATTAACAACAGCCGAACACGAGCAGAGAAAGTCAAAGCACAAGCAGACTACGCAGAAGTAAACAGGGAAGTGAAGAGGAGCATTAAAGCCGACAAACAGAAATACATGGGAGAACTAGCAACGACGGCGGAAAAAGCTGCAAGAGAAGGGAATATGAAACAACTATATGATACAACGAAGAAATTAGCAGGGAGATATAGCAAACCAGAGAGACCAGTCAAGGACAAAGAAGGAAAGACAATCACTGAGATTCAAGAACGGAGGAAAAGATGGGCAGAATACTTCTAGTGACTGCTGAATAGACCAGCTCCATTGAATCCACCGAACATCGAAGCAACACACACTGACCTTCCAATAGATGTCACTCCACCAACGATCGAAGAAGTCAAGATGGCCATCAGACAAATAAAAAGTGTGAAAGCGGCAGGACCTGACAATATACCAGCAGAAGCACTGAAGTCAGACATTGAAATAACTGCAAACATGCTTCACCTTCTATTCAAGAAGATTTGGGAAGAGCAACAAGTGCCAATGAACTGGAAAAAAGGATATCTCATCAAGATACCAAAGAAAGGAGATCTGAGCAAATGTGAGAACTACATAGGCATTAGTTTGTTATCAGTACCAGGAAACGTTTTCAACAGAGTGCTGATGAATCGGATAAAAGACGCAGTAGACGCCGAACTTAGGGATCATCAGGCTGGATTCCGTAAGGATCGGTCGTTCACAGACCAGATTATGACACTACGGATCATCATTGAACAATCAGTTGAGTGGAACTCATCACTATACGTCAACTTCATTGACTACGAGAAGGCGTTTGACAACGTGGACAGGAGAACATTATGGAAACTTCTTCGACACTATGGACTTCCTGAAAAGATTGTCAACATTATCCAAAACTCATACGATGGACTACAGTGCAAAGTCAGGCATGGAGGACAACTGACAGATGCATTTCCAGTAAGGACCGGAGTCAGACAGGGCTGTCTACTCTCCCCATTCCTCTTCCTTCTAGTGATTGACTGGATTATGAAGAATTCGACATCTGAAGGAAAATACGAAATACAATGGACTTCTCAGAATCAATTAGATGATTTGGACTTCGCAGATGACCTAGCCCTCCTCTCTCATACACACGACCGAATGCAGTTGAAGACCGCAAATGTAGCAGCAGCCTCTGCATCGATAGGCCTCTACATTCACAAAGGAAAAAGCAAGATTCTCAAGTGCAACACGGAGAACACCAACCCAATCACATTTGATGGAGAAACTCTGGAAGATGTGTAAACATTCAAGTACCTGGTTAGCATCGTTGATAAACAAGGAGGATCGGATGCAGATGTATAGGCGAGAATTGGCAAAGCAAGGGCAGCATTTTTACAATTGAAGAACATATGGAACTCAAAACAACTCTCAACCAATTTCAAGGTGAGAATCTTTAATACGAACGTCAAGACAGTCCTACTGTATGGATTTGAAACCTGGAGAATTACTACGACCATCATCAGGAAGGTACAAGTATTTATAAACAGTTGTCTAAGCAAAATACTCAACATTCACTGGCCAGATACTATCAGCAACAACGTTTTATGGGAGAGGACAAACCAGCTTTTAACTGAACAGGAAATTAGGAAAACACATTGAAAATGGATCGGACGTACATTGAGGAAATCACCAATGTGCATTACAAGGCAATCCCTAACTTGAAATCCTGAAGGGACGAAGAAAAGATGAAGGTCAAAGAATATATTACGTCGGGAAATAGAAGCCGATATGAAAAGGATGAATGTTAACTGGAACGAACTGGAAAGGAAGGCTCAAGACAGAGTTGGATGGAGATTGGTGGTGAGCGGCCTATGCTCCTCGATGAGGGGTAACAGGCGTAAGTAAGTAAGTAAGCTTACTGGTGACTAGCTTGAGAATCTCAAATCTGACGACTCCAAAAAGATCAAGGTGATTTTTGGTAACATTTTTGAATAGAAACTAGACTATGATCACAATGTTACATCGATTTGCGCACTGCTGAGAAGTTCAACAATAGAACGAAACGGCCGTCCAGTGCTTCCAGGTTTTCCATGATGGTTTAGCTTCAATTGACTCATAATCTCAACTATATAAGATCATAAAATAGTTTATCTACTTTAAGACAC